TGTTAATGTTGAAAATGATTTTAATTTAATAATATATATATATATATATATATATATATATATATATATATATATACATATACATATACATATACATATACATATACATATACTAAAATAAAGAATTCTGATATTTATAAAGAGTGTGTTTTTATTTTATTAAATATTTAATTTAAAAGATAGAGAATGAGAATGACTTGTAAAAATTAGACCTAACTAAACAATAATAATCCAAAAAATACCTAAATATATTGTAAAAATAATTAAGTTACCTATGGGTACATACATATATGTATCAAGTTATATGTAACATTTTAAAGAATACTGAAACAAATATATGTAATAAAAAGTAAATAACTACTATTAGATTAACATTCTTGTTTATTACAAGGGAGAAATTAATATTAACTATCTTTCAGCCTACAGGACATATTAAAATATATCAAATTTTTCCAATATTTTATAGATAGATTTTAATTATCAATTTCAATCACACTGAAACAAAATAAATGTGTAACACAATGTATATAAAAATATATGAAAAATAAAGTTGATATTGAACAAATACACATACTTGAATTCCAATAGATCCTTTCGGCTGTAAAGTTAGTTCATCCATTTTTCGAATGTACATCTTTATTAAACAAATACAGTTGACGTCTTAATATTATTTATAATATGTCGTTATAGATAGTATTTCATTTTCCTAGCCTGTGCAGCGTGTATATGCGGCCGCGTGTGTGTCTCTGCCTGTGTGTTGTCCACGTGTGAATGTATATGATGTGTGTGTTTGTGTGTATGTACGTGTGTATGTATATATGCACGTGTGCATGTTTCCTCGTGTACAGTACTATTGCTAATATTTCTCTTGTCGAACGATTTTCAGTTGCAGGATAACAAGGTAATTTGACGTTTCTGTGCGTCGTGTGCAGACGCGCCGAGTAACTCAGTGTGTCACATGTTTAAATTAAAACTCGTGTTGCAATCCTTTCTCGCCACTTCACGTCGCTTAATGACTTTGAAACTGTGCTTAGCGTACAGATAGTATCAGTATTAATAATTAAATTCCTTAACGGTACTATATCGTTACTTAATCTTATTAGTTAACACACAATCAATCTGCGACGGGAGGGAATTTAGTCGGTCCGTAATGTGTTCGCTTACGGCCTAGCTATATAGTCGGTATAGTTGATTATTTAAATCATTACAACGTCTCCGTAGGATTGGTATTATTTTATTTCTTTCTTTCTTTCTTTCTTTTTTTTCCTTTTCTGCATTTTACTGAACGTTGAAGTATTTCAATTACGTGACGGACACGTATCAACGCACGCATAATTTCTGTGGCCTTCTTTTCTCCCCTTCTTTCATCGAGGGTATACAGTACTTAACGTTTGTATACGAATTAGAGGCGAGAGCGTGTGTATTCTGCCGTGCGCCCAAGTGCTCTAACAAATTCGGATCAAGCGTTTCACTATTCAGGAACACAAAGATTCGCGGCTTCAAAGTGACATACTTGATTCATACGATCGCGAACGGTATACTCCTGAATTGTTTCAGCTTGGACCGATGTTGAATTGAAAATATTCTGCAGACTATTTAGGCGAACGGTACGTGTAAATGTCGAAGAGTATGTATATTTATATACGTAAACATACATACACGGATACATGTGCATATGTATACGTACACTAGCTGCCTACAAAATACAATAGTACATTACAAATTCATACCTTCTTTTCTCTGTTTTTCTTTCTCTCTCTCTCTTTCTTTTTCTTCTCATCTCTTAAATCATCATTTGCAAACAGCTTAGATATATTTTTATGTATAATATATATTATATAATAGTATCATCTAGTTGGTTTTTGTTCTGCGTAGTTCCATTCTTTTCCTTTTCACTTTTTCCCCCCTCATTCTCCATATAATTAATATAATTAAGTACATCTTTAGAGCAGGCGTTTTATACGCCTAGTTAGGTTGCAATGATGTCGTTCTCTCTCTCTCTCTCTCTCTCTCTCTCTCTCTCTTTCTCACAGATCTCCCTTCACTGGCAGCCGAGAAAAACGAGTCTTTCTGATATAAACATACGCATCATCTTGCTCTAAATGGCTCGTTAGACCGGGTAACAAAAGAATGCTCCCTTCCTGTACTCCAATCGTCGACGGACACTCTTCGTCGAAAACGACCACCGGTACAAAATGCACCTCGATTCGAATTCTCGCGCTCCTCAGATCGCTCCGAAAGTCAGCACTTTTACTCTTTTGTGCAGTTGTCTGATTTCTTTTTTTTCTCTCTTTTTTTTCCTTTATGCTTACGCCGTGTAAAAGATTCAAGAAAAGGGCCTGTAGGGCGTTGTGTTGTGCGATCGAAGAAGGAATCGAATCTTTTTTTCTTTTTTTTTTCTTTTTTCTTATGGTTCACGATAAATCCCATGATCTTCGACGTGTGTGTGTTCGTGTATATAAAGAATGTATAATCCCATAAAAAGAGAGGAAATTCATTCTCCTTCCGATAGAATTATCTTTTCCCGAATATTACGTCGTGTATAAGTGTGAAATACGTTTAGATTGATATCCTTGTGAATAACACAAGCTTTTCCAAGAACTACAAACTGAAATTGTAAATCAGATGAGAGACTTAAAATTTAGAATAGAGAGAGCATGATGGTTGGTCTATTCGCGCGGAAATTTGAAGTGCGCATACACGTGTGTCGCATGTACGCTCTTAAAACAAAACGAAAAAAAAAAAAAAAAAAGAAATTAAAACGAATAGCAACAGTATTACTTTTTATTTGCGCTTCGTTTTCATCAACCATTACTGTTCTTCTTTCCTCAACTTTTTCTTTCTTTTTTTTTTTTTTTAATTTTTTTACGTCCCCGATATTTTGAATATTTTAATCGACGCGTCATTTTGTTCTTTCTCGATCAAAGCTTTCGAAACGAAATAAATGCAGAAAGATGACGCGCGTATCTTTATCCGAACGTGACAAAAGTGAAGCGCAATCAAGGAAAATGAAATTAAAAACAGAAAAAAATGAGAGAAACCAAGTCGCGATTATGGCAAGTAACGTCACGATTGCTATGTAGGAGCTCTTTACGAAAAGTTTTTAAACTTCTGACAAATCTCTTATAAAAATGATATGATATGCTCGTTGGAAAAATAAATTGTTCATATAGTTTCTATGAATATAGATATCCGTACACAAACTTTCAGTACTAAATATTCGATCGATCGGTATAACTCTAAATACACAAATACATACGCAAGATCCTTTCATTACTTCGTAGCGAGTATCAATGCGCAGTCATTTACGAGATCATTCGTCGATAATTAATACCCTGCGGATCATTGCACGTACGTGGCGTATGTTCAATGATAAACGAACCGTGTTTGTTCACCATCGCAAACAACAGAATATACGCTTTTCCGCTTGACAGTCCGATTCCGACATCCCACGACTCGTACGTGATTCTCTTTCTCTGTGGTGAACCCGACAGATTCGCATTATCAACGAACGGCCGATACTTTTTCTATGCGTCTGTCCCTTAACACCTATGCCGTTATAACAGTTAATGTTTTAAAATACAACAACAGTAGAGCAGTTTGCTTCCGAGAGACGTTCTCGAGCGGTACGTCTAACATGCGAGAGATATACTGATAGGAAATCAGTTCGAGTGTTCGCTATTAAAATATAGAGTAGAATTCAACATACTAGTCGCGTAAAGGCACATAAAAATTAGTTTCCCTATGAAACGAGTACGATTGCACGATAATCCTTTTAAAAAATAACAAACGATACCCTCTTGCTGGTCGAATCGCTGCGCATTATTCTCCTCCTCCCACAAAGGATAAATTGTCTCGTCCATGCGAAACGGCGCTCCTCACCACAGAATAATGATCGGACGCTGTATGTATATGTAAGTACACATGTGTCCCTTTTTCGCCTCTTTTTCTCCCTTCATGCACATACACGTGTACTTCATACAGTCTGTATACGCGATGAACTTGCATACAAATCTATATGCATGCGCACACATGTATACGGATATGATATTATACCGTACTTAATGGTGAAGCACTATTATAAGATGCGCGGCAATGTCCTTACTAAGAGCTAAGAGTTTTTTTCTTTTTTTTTTTTTTTCTTTTTTTTCTTTTTCTTTTGTAGATTGATTAGGAAGGAACATTGTGCAAATTATATTAGAGGTTTATCTTTTTTCTTTCTTTTTTCACTTAAAAATAAAGTGGAAAATTGGGCAAGTATCATACGATGGCCTAGGCTCAGCCCGATTTTACGTGCTACCGATTAGAAATATATATATGTATGTATTATATATATATATATAATTTTTTTTTTATTGTTCATTCTCATTGATAGCATGCTAATAATAAAATGGGCATCCACGATTTTTAAATACTTAGTTTAGTCGAATATGAAAGACTCGATTGTTATGAAAAAAATATATAGATGTGTATATATGTATATACTTATGAGATCAAACGTCGTATGAAAAAGTTCAAGTCGGAAATAAGGAAGAGTTAATACGTTCAATTAGATAACAGTCAGATTACGTCATCGGGCTGTCCTGTATATCAAAGGAAAATTATAATCGAATATAATAGCAGCATTATAATATATCATGTTTAGCATTAGTAAACATTTTTAACAAGTAATAGTGGAATAGAATAAAAATAGAATAAAAGAAGGAGAAGATAATTAAGAGTATAAAAAAGTTCCCTCGTCCTATCACTATTGGATAATAAAAATAATAATGGTAATAATGATAATAGTCGCGATAGTAATAATAATAATAATAATAATAATAATAATAATATTAATATTAATAATAATATTAATCATTAGAAGTAATGAGTGTCAAATATAAATTAATTGCTTCCAATATTTACCGAGAACTTCCCAGTAAACTTAAGTATCCTTCACGTGTATCTTTCCACGTCTACAAACATCAGTGACGTGTTGTAGTTAGAAAGAGTCCAACTATTCGATAAAGCGTCCCGCACTCTCTTACAAATTTTGCTGGCTTTTAAGGTGAGTACTAACTAATTGATGTATTAACATTTCACGATACCAATATGCCTTCATCTATGGGGACGGATATAATACGACGCTCGCGTATTTATGTATAGGAGTATCGGATCAGTTACCGAAAAATACCAATGTGTTGTTTCGAAAGATGGACAAGTCTCGAGTGAATATTGTGAACACTGTGAATATCAGAATAGTTTCATAAAGTTGTCAAAGCTCGCTATATTGGATAACAAGTATAGACGTGCATTACGAAGCGTCATAAGAAAAGAAATAATAATGATCGTTTGAAAAAGGGAATTAATGAGAAACAATACGAGTTAGTACTCCACTTAATCGCCATATGAAGAAAGGGGATGGCGAATGCAGAGAGGGATTAGTAATTTAAACATCACGATGATCCCATTCCAAATCATGAGGTGAATTGTGACGGCGATGTCGGCCGTTGCTCAATTCGCAGTCGTTCTCGCAATCGGAACTGTCCAAGTCGTCATCTCTGTACGATCCATCTTCCGAGTCCGAACTTCCCGAATCGTCGATGTCTTCGTCTCTCTGACTCTGGTGATGAGGATCGTGCTCTGTGAGCCTCTCCATGGGATTCACGGTAATAGCCAATGCAGAATCGTCCCAAGCCATTTCGGTTTCGGCAGCCAACTCGTCCCCGGCCGATGGTCGTCTCTTCGCGGCTCCTCTCACTCTTGCCGCCCCGACCACCGCCATTAACAGCAAGAAACAAATGCAAGCGGCTGCGACAATCGTGACTGCGTGGCTGCCGCTCGCGCCTCCGATGCTTCTGTTACCTTCGCGAAGCGCGGCTGTCGCGTACTCCTCCGGCAAATCTGCGTGATGAGGTGACAATTGCGCGTGTCCGGGTGCCGGTTCGAGAATTCTGGCGATTGGCGGCTCGTCGGGTGTGGAATGAGGAAGAGCAGTGGTCTTTTCTTTCGGATGAATGACGGCGAGGGTCTGCACGTACTCGTTGCTCGCGAATCGGCCGCTAAGCTCGGAGCAGGTCAGCTTGAATACGCGATCGAGATAGTAAGCTGGCTTCCGGTTCGTGTACATGATCAGACGTATCAATTGTTGATAGTTGTACGGTGTGTCGGCGCCTGAGAGAACGACACCATCGCGATCTACGCGCGCGGTGATCGAACGGAATCTACGCAGAGCATCGCCTGGCAAACCTAAGCTCTCGTGGTCGGGATTAAGGCTCGGATAAACACTGACCGCGCATGCGTCTAATCTGGCAGCGGATCCGGCAGTGACGCGAGTGTCCGGGAATACGCGCACACCTAGACGAAAATCTGCGTATTCCCTGGCCACGTAGCCGGTCCCGTTGACAGTTATACCCGGACGAGGCGGTGGTAGAACAGTGACGTACGACTGAACGGTTGGTACAGGGAGCGGATTGTTCTCGCTACCTTCGCAGACAATCGTCGTCTCTAAACGGAAATTACGGCGGCCCGGTGTGGGGAATCGTCTCGAGTTGGAATAACCGATACGACGGAGAAGCGTCTCGACGTTAGTGCGATTGTCACCGTCAATTCGTACCTCTGTTAGATCGCAATTGGTGAGCAACTGAGTTCCCGGTTGAAGCAGGTCCATCGACGGCACGTGGATACCTTCCTGGCAACGGCGCAAGCAGGACAACACGTCCGGTTTCTCGTTTCGTCCAACTAAAACGGACAGTCCAGCCAGATAGCCGCGGAAGTGATGTTTCGTTTTGTTGTCGGAACCCTGCCAGCACGCGCCAACAACAAGGGTCGTGTTAACACCCTTCGCAGGATGAAGCGGCCAATCGTCGATCACCTCGGGATTCTTCTCGTCTGTGTGCCATTCCTCTCCGTCAACGAACAAAGTCACGTGGGGGAAGTCGACCTGAACGGCATAATGATGCCACTTATCGTCGCACACTTGGGTAAGTTTCCAACGCCACTCGGCAGGCCGGAAGATATTAGGATCGCCCTCAGAGAAATCGCGCCTAAGTAGCAAAATCAGTCTGCAGTTTCTGATAAACAGGGCGTAATGATGTCTATTCATCTCTGCAAAATCAAACACAATACATCGTTTAACAATGCCGCGCGTGAACGTGCATTTTTCAAAGCGAACAATTAACGAGAAAGCTTACTGTGATCGTCAGCGGCGCACAAGATGTGTTCCTTAACGTGAGGATCTTGTCTTGGCCGAGGACGATGCTTCACCCAAACTCCGATCGTGAATTTCTGTGCCAGAGTGTGCTCGAGCACATCGTTAGGTACAATAGCGGCGGAATCAACGCCGTCGAACTCGAAGATCTCGTCCGCTTCCCTGCCCTCGTCTCGAGATAAGGATGCAGTCCAGGAAGTGGTAGGCCCAGGAGTTGGCAACAAGTCTACGCTATCGCGCGATGCGCCGCATAATTTACGTTGGCTGCGCACACCGTACGTGTCACGGTCGCAACCTTTCCCTATATGGTCCGTAGCGAGTGTCAAGGTGGCTCGAACGTTGCGTAATATACAGGGTGCATCGCAAAGGTCCAGCCTGGCGGATGGAAGCAACGGTTGAGAACCTACTCCGGCGGCGTAGTCAACCCTCTCTGGAATTCCTCTCCAGCCAGGCGCGCATACACGATTGACTTTAACGGTGACCATAGCAGGTGCAGATTGTTTCATGCCACAGTCGTACGCTACCACGCTCAGGATATAGTTATGGGATCGCTCGTAATCCAACGGTTCGGTATTGCGTATCGCACCCTCATTGTCGATGATGAAAGGCTGGTCGGCTGTTAAAATCTCATACTTGCATACATCACCGAATTTTGGGGTACAATCTCTGTCGGATGCTTCGACGCGGACAACTTCTTCGTATAGGCGACCTTCGTCCACGGTGCTGACATAGGCCGGCTGCAGAAACTGTGGTGCATACTCGTTCACGTCCACCACGGTAATATGCACCGTGGCGCTAAAATAACATTAAAATAATTCTTTAATGCTGCTCGATGTAAATGATCTTTTTTTTTTGAAAAATTCTTGTTATATAGTTATTTAATATATTAATATGTAATATTATGTACTCGTGACTGTAATTCTTTATAACTTTATCTTTATCTTCATATTACTATTGCAAGAGTTTGTCAGAATTGGACAGATCTCAGATGGTGTTATAAACTACTAAATTTTATCAAACGTCCCAATATCTCTGTTCTTGAGATGAACGAAACTCAACTTTTAATTATAAAAATAATTTAAAATTCAATGGCTCAATGTGCAAACAATAACAAAATCGATCAAATAATATGATCAAACATACAAACAAGACAATTATAATCACACCTAAAAACTAAATGTGTTACTACAAATGTTATGTTTAATTCTCTTTGCGAGAACAGTAATTCTGAGGACTCGAAAGTATATAACGGAAGAAGCGTAAATGAAGATAGGCGAAGACATATAGAAGAGAAAATAGAACACAGGAAACTGTTGCAGTTCAGAAATAGCAGAAGGTAGCACAAACGTTCGCATTAAATCTATCTGTATTTCAAAATAACAGAAACGCAAAATAATAGAATTCCACGCGACTTCATTTCCAATGTCGAGCCGTTGAAGCGAACTGCGATATCAAATGAAACGTCAATATCGCAAATTACAAAATAGCTCGTTATTGTGCAGCAGTCTCGAAATGAACAAAAATTCATGTTTAATCGAACTAATCTATTTGTTCACGTATCACGTTCAATATAACGTGTACACGTTCGCCAGCGTATCAGCCTCGATAGAGAGATAAAAACGAAGTTTACGGCGATGGCGAGATGGTCAGCTTTATTCAATGCAGTTCGTACTTTTCCGATAGCGATCCGTTGCAGCCAACAGCCTCGATATCAAACTTGTAGTTACGCCGTTTCTCGCAGTTTAGAACTCGCAGTGCCCTCAGCTCTGCCATTCCTTTCTCTTTCAAAACGATCTCGAAGGGCGCCTCGCCATGGTGTTTGTTCGCGATACGGAAGGAGCAGACTTTTGCACCTATGGCTCGGATCTGTGGCGTGACCTCGACCAGGGTTTCATTTTCCTTTACCAGGCCGTGGTATCCGCTTTCCGGGCTGTCCAAATCCAATCGTGGAGCTGAGGACAGAGACAAGAAAGACGTGATTTAAACAGACTTAAAAAAAAAAAAAAAAAAATGATCAAAGTAGCTCGCACAAACTTGCAGGAACTCTCTCACGAATGTATTACGCGTGTTATGGGAAACATTTTGAAGTTTTATTAACACCGTAATGAAGCCTGAATGTCGTGATTATATTGGCAAAGTTCAAAACAAATCTGAGAATGTACGAAGAAGCTACGGGGTATTTAGAGCAGGCATGTACTTCGTAGAGATTTACGAAAGTTTTTAATCACTTGATTATCGCAATTCCTTTGATATGATTATTAAACATGTATTATATTATATTATAATTATGTTAATGTGACTATTAAAATTACCTTGTGTCATAATTATATTAGCATATTTAATATACCGTATCTTTATCAAAATTCCTTTCGATTCATTGCAATTCATTTGATCCCAGATATTCCAATCTTTTGCAATTATTATTGGATATTTCAATACCACGGGCAATTATTAAAAAATATTGTATTGCAACATGCAATTCTGAATTTTGAATGTAAACGCATTTCAAATAATATTTTAACTTCTGTACGCGGAAAACGTTTTTGTTTGAAAATAATTTTCTGGTTTCTCACAATATCGCGGTGGTTGTATCAAATTAATCGTAGCAAAAATTTCGGCGTGTTAATGCTCATACGCGATGTTATTGCATCGCGATAAAATGTTCAATGTTATCGAAGCGTGGCTTTCGTTCCTCTTTTTTTTTTTTTATTTTGTTTTCAAATTTAAAATACCACAAATCTCCCTCACCCTCTCTCCTACTCTTAATTTCGCAATTTAATCCCTGGGAATTGTTTTGTCGGCGAGCTTGTCAAAAAGAAAAAAAAAGAGAGAGAGAGAGAGAGAAAAGAAATGAGAATTTATAGAAATAGACCGGAAGCTTCGTAGCGTGGAGAAACGAGAACATCTCGAAACTCGAACAATACAAGATGCATTAATTAAAATTTCGCGTTAATTTAAGAAAAAAGAACACTGCCAGTTATTTTAAATCATTGTACACGCGCTCTGTAAAGAATGTTCGTTATTTAACGTTATTAGAACCAACGAGAAGAGATTAATAATTCACCCATGCTTACGGCAAGTAGGTCATTATTTCACAAATACTAATTAATGGTAACTAATGTTCGTTTTCTTTCCCTTTAATGAACCTCTGACCCGTGCTACTTATTTATTACAAGCGCTCGTTAAATCGAGAAATTATTGTTGAAACGTAGTTGAAATACTGTTTGAAGATCTTGGTGAAAAAGATACACGTATAGTTAATTTGCATTGATTCACTGATTTTGATGTTGATCATTGACGTAGCTAAAAAAAAAGATTGTAGATATATTTTACAGCAAAATAATTGCTAAAAAAAAAAAGCTGAAACACACGATAAATGAAAAATCTAATAAAAAATTATTTGCTTCGGAATATGAAAAAGAAAGAGATACATTATAATGTTAGGTTTTATAATACTACGACATGTATATAACTTTTCGTTTGATTTTGGAGTTAGTATCTATTTTCTCGAATCTTTGAAGAAAATATTAATAAAAATTAACAGAAAATAATCTAATTTATTTATATACTTATATACTCCGTCAGATTATATTGTGTTAAGTTACTGATATTTTTTAAACATTCAAGAAAAATCCCTGGAGAAACAGTATTCGATTAATAAAAACGCGTTTATTAGTAGTTGCAAATTAGGCTATATTCAGTTTTTTCTTCAAACATTCGAGGAGCTAAATTTAATGCCAAAAAATCAAGCGATAAGTTAACTTTAATTCACGATTGATTAACAATGTATTAAATTTAAAAATTGCTCTCTCATATAAAATGAAAAACGTGACATACAATTTTCAGTGTAGCCTTCATTTTTATTTTATCGTTCTGTTAAAAACGATCAGAGCACTCGCACGAGGACGCAACCTAAATTCTTGATTTTCAGAGATAGTTTCGACGCGAACCGTTGGAAAAACCAAATAAGGTTTGACGATTTTTCAATTCGGGGCTTTGATGGAACCGCGATATCCATTTGCATGGTAAAAGTCGGGGCTCGTGAATTACTAAAAGTCAAATACTTCAAAATTCCATGCATAATTGTCTTCGTTTGAAGATGCATACCTTCAAACGAAATGAACAACTCGTTTGATTTTACTTTATATCCTCTTTATATCAACATCATTTGTAGCACATCATCTACGTTATTACAAATTGTATCACGAGACACATAATTACAAAGATGTTTGGAGCATTTCCGTTATTTATAATGCAAGTAAACGTAAATTATGAATTCTTCATATTGCAGTTTATTGACTGGCCATTCTATTCGAGCAAAGTTACACGCATAAAAAGACTTTTACGAATCAAAATCCACTACAATTGCAACAAAAACAACTCGCTATTTCAAAATTTCACATTTCTCGCATTATTAAACAGAAGAAAAGAATCACAAGTATAATATCCAATAACATCAAAAAATTCATTTAAAAAATTCGAAAGATGAATGTAACAGAACAGAACAGAAGTATGATAAATCGACGGATGATTACAAAAGTTACCGCCAATATTATAGTTTAAGAATTGTGCAAAACAAAAAAAAAAAAAAGAAAACGCGTTAATTTATTCTTCTCCAGCTACAGATATTTCGCTACGTAGAAATGTGTAGTACATGTTCAGCAATTTTTTCCTTCGATTGTTACTTTTCATCTCCTATCGCCTCAAACAAAGAAGCAGCCCCCATCATGGCAAAAGAAACATACAGAGACACTCAGTTTCCTACGTTAATATTATCGATTAGTCGAACAGCAGCGTGCACATACATATTCCAATTGGAAATTGGATCAAAGAATGGATTCAATGAATAGTCTCGGGAACACATTGACAACCGATAAGTTTCAATTCTGTTTCCATCGTGGAACAACAATTCCCGACTGTTATTCCGCCACCATACAGGTGTTCCACTGTGAGGAATCGATGCTTCACGTTAACATCGTTCCCCCGAACAACAGATGAGAGTTACTATTTCAGGCTAAAAACGGTTGGTTAACGTGTTCACCGCCGAAGATATTTCCCGTGGCCGTTATTCCAATTCCATTCCGAGCCGTTCCCGTAATTCAATGTAAAAGTGGATTACACGAGGCCGCGGGACAACCGTTCCGGTAATGATTGTCGGCGAGAATTAAATTAAAAACATGGGACAAAATTTGTCTACCTACACCGGAACTTCGTCTCTCCCGGCAAATGAAATTTCAAATTTCCGCGCGCGTCGTTCGTTGTAAAATTACTACTTCGTACGCGAATCTCGCGAATTACGTTTATAGCATATTCGTTTATATTCGATGATTACAGGGCATTTAAAATTACAATTTTGAATCTGGCCACTCCCTTTCTTGTTACAAGAGAGTTTTCACATTGCGTCGAAGCGTTCGAACGTAACTACATTTTGCCAGACGAGTTTATGTCGTAAATCGTATATACGGTACGAGGGATTTTCAAATGGAATAACCTGCTCAAGGAAAATCGATACTATTTATCGTAAATATACTATAAGCGTAATGACTTCAACGTTTCACGGTGATTAATTTCACGAGTTTACGTGGACGGCGAAAAGCAGCAAAAATCACGATTTCGTTATAAATATTTCTAACTTCGACCAGGTTATTCGATTTCGCAAAGTGACATTAATCCATTAAAATATTTCGCCAATATTAATCCATTAAAGGTTAACGTTACAGGATCATATATCATTTGCAATCTCTTTCCATTTAATTTACGTTATCGATATACATATGTGCACATTATTAGATATATTTGTACGATCGCAATGGTTAACGATTGGTTAACGAAAAGTAAGCGCGAATACCTCGACGAGGATGGTACAAAAGGCAATGCCTGTTATCTAGTAAAAGTACTTTGTATCAACCCGGACCCTTGATAAAGTTAAGTGCAGTTTCGAGGAAACGTCGAAGCATTTTCACTCTCTAAAGAAGTTCTATCTTCACACACGAATCACGTACGGCAGAGTTATAAGAACGACAGACGGTGAAATAATTCAAAGAATTTAGTTTTGAATAAAATGATGCAAACTAAAAAACTTTACAAGCTCGATGAATGATTCACGATTGAAATCACTGAACGACCTCAATATATTGAATAAGCGAATGAAGTTAAATCGCCTACGTTGTTATCGTTATTATAAATTATACGACGCAACAATGACTCTGCGTACAATTTATAACGCTGATAATAATAATAATAATTTCGTAATTTATTGTAAATTACTTTGTTATCATATCATGAAATACGGAAGAATTAACGGAGGGGAAGAAAAGAGCGTGTTGCACTGAAATCACAGAAATGTGGAAAATTGTAGGCGCATTACCATTAAGCTCGCTGGAAACAAACAGAAAGTCAAAGGGAAGTTTGTTAATGAAATATTTCGTAAACATGGCTCTAATATCTTTCGGTTCTCCATCAAGTTGCGAAGTTGCATCGGAATCGGCAACATTTCACGTGAGTCGTTGGCAAAGTCTTAAATTGAACGAAACTACGTTCACTGCTGCTTTCTAGAAAGTTTGACACTTTGCACCTTGCCGCTGTGAGGCCAGAGTCACTCTTTCAGATGCAAATAGTTCGTATCTGGGTAAAATTTACACGGCATGTGCCAAGGAAATAATATTAATTGATATTCAGCGGTCACCTTTTTTTTTTTTTTGTCGAAAGTCATTTTTCGATTTTCGTTGATCAGCGAATTGATTAAATTTAATATTAACGACCGATGACACTGTGATTTTTAATATTTAATAGTCGGTAATGTTAATCTAACTTTCAGTGATTAATCACTGGTGTGATCTTCCTCCCTGTGAGTTCCTAACGAAATTTCCCGACTCCTGACAAAAGTTCCTCGCGCATATTGCAGTATTTAATAAACAGAAAAATATAATACAACAGGTACAAATATTATAGCGAGTTCTGCAATAAACAGTTCTTGCAAATAAAATCAAAATGCAAATGGAAGCAAATAATACAACAATCGCGTAACAAATTTATCTTTTTCGTGAATATCAGAACATTGCTTGTATTTTTTTTATTGCAAAAAGGTCGTTTACGATATTTTGTTATTAAGCGCTTATAATATCGAAAATACATGAGTGCGTACATTTTTTCGATAGTATTTTAAGCATTCAAACTGCAGCCTTTTCAAAGGCTTCCTCGTAATTTAACAAGTAGATAAAATTTCGAGAAACTAATTCGATACTATTCTCGGTATTATTTACGTATACTATACGACAATATTATATAGACTTTAGACTATTAGCCTGGCATGAATTTCCCCTAAGTACATGAACATATTTCAATGCACGCTGCGACGAAGAGAGACTAGCTGTAACAAATGAGGTTTCAGAACCAATTATGTTAATTCTACCCCCGGCGCCATTCCCCCGACTAGTATAATATATAATAATCGGTTATTCTTATCAGCGATCGAAAAAGAAGCATAAATCACGTTTAATCTACGATAATATTATTCGAGAAGCTCTCACGATGACCAAATTTTATACAGTTAAGCGCGCCTAAGGGTCTTCGAGATATTTTCGATCCCCGATCACGCCCTCCTCTCTTATGCTTCGAAGAAAAAAAGAAAATAAAAGAATGAACCTTCGGCGCGAAACTGGAACGAGGAAGAACAACACGACATATTTAAAAAAAAACGACTTTCTGATATCTTCTCTCCAAATTAAAAATATTCTTCGGCGAAAAAGAAAAATCTCGAGGGCCTCGCCAAGATTCAGAACAAAGGGCCGTCCGAATAAAAAGTTCAAGGAGTCACATTGTCCAGCTTGTTGATTAGCCTCTCGCGATCTTTTTTCACCCAATCCTATACGAAAGTCATAAATAATGTGAAAACATTTCTACATGTAGAACTTTAACTCAGATTTTCGAGAAAAATCACTGGCAAAGAAGACACAAGTTATACGTTGCAAACTTCTGTTACGTATAAATAGTTCTTACAATTTTATTTTATAATAAATTAGCCTGCTATTTGTAACATTCGTTTACGGAACTACTGGTTTTGCTAACAAACTCATTACCAAGCGAGTTTCCACTTTTAATTTGTAACTAAAAAAAAATTTAACTAATGACATTAGTTCAGACTGCGCAAGATCTAAAGTTTTAATGACATTTTTATCGCTCGTTTCGTACCTTGAACTGTCAGGAAGACAGCTTTTAAAACTGGCAAATATCAATAATGCATGCAAGAGCGCAGTCACAGCTAAAACGAAAATAATACTTTCTTATAATAGTGCGTTGCTTTCCAAAATCTATATATAAGCTTCCAAATAATTTATCATGTTCCTTGAAATATTTACTTCAGTTTCGGTTTTTCGATTTTTGGATAGTTTGAGATATGAGACGATCGTATTTAAAAATCATATTTAAATGAATCACATTTGGTACATAATACCATTTTACACTGCTAAAATTAGAATTATTCTGTATTTCCCCGAGTATGTGACCATCTCCAATCGATCCGAATGGTATATTTCAAGAGTGCAGTTAAATGCATTCCCAATCAAACGATTCTCTTACTTTCGATTTAAATTGTACCCTTTGAAGTTGAAATTACTTCGATTTATACGTATCAGTGTTTACTAAATTACTGCTGAATTCAAGAAAGATAAAAGAGAAGTCTTTAAGGGCTGGCAGTATCAAGAGGAATAAGAGACGTTCAGTCGACACAGATTCTAGGTTATACTGTTCTGAAATACAAATACTTCGTAACTATTTACTATGGATATTTAAATGTTCCAAAATTTGAAATATTAAATTTTCCATTAATGTCTTGAATAGTTTGAAGTCAATATTAATACTTGTATTAATAATATATAGAATTAAATATATATATAATTTTTTTAATTAAAAACTGTACTGTTGGATGCAGGGAAATTTTATAAAAGATAATATATCTGATATTTTCTTCTCTTTATTTTGAAAATTGTATCTTTCTCAATATTTCTCGTATATTCTTTTGAATATTAAGCAAGTAATAAAGAATAACAAATATTGCTTAGCTAGAAAATTTACAATTAAGATTATCTGTGTTAATTAATTTCGAACACAAATAAGATTAATGATAATGAAACTAATTAGTAAAAGATAATAAGAAAATATTAAATTTTTTTATGCATAGAAGACTTTTTTTAAAGAAGCATCACTAAATATACAAAATATTCTTCAGACCATAGACCTCTGAAAAAAAATTGATTTCAAATTCCAAATTGAAACATTTTTTATTCCTTTCTTAGTAAATTCTGTCAACCTGGAAAATTTGAAATCCCTATTCTTCTTTAACATTTCGTATATTATTATTTTTCAACAACTCTTCGTGCACAGTTTGTACATTTTGTAAGCCCCTATAAACTCTCAGATCCTTATTTCTTTTAACACTCTATATGTAATTACACGTTACATACTACAGTATGTCAAAAACCTCTCTGCAAATTGACCGACCGATCAATAGAGAAATCGGCGTTATCGTTAACGTATGCATAATATCAAAGAGCGTAATAGAGTTGAATCGGACGTCCGCGCTTCAACGAAAGCTTTATTTTGATTCGATTTGACTGGGGATAGGATTTTATTCCTCCCCGAAATTGAACAACGATCTTCACAAATCGCGATCGATCAAGAGACGGGTGAAACGAATCGAATCGTTTTTAATTACTCTCAGGTATGGGCAGAGCCGTGGTTGTAAATCACGAGACAACTTTCGGGCAATTAGCTTGAATGAAAAAAACGAGCATGAAAAAAATTAAGGGACCCGACCCCTTATCGGACACTGTCGTACACAGTTCATTAATACCTGACGTTGTTACGCAAGATATTTTGCGAAATACCGACGAGAGGAGGACATTACACGTCGCTTCGTTACAAGAAGCAATATTTTCGCAGCACGAAAATTATTTAACATCGCTCGAAGCGTCAAACTGTAATAAAAGTGCTAAAAGATCAACTTCGCTTGCGACGAAACGAAAAAAAGAGGCGTATCGCGACACGATTTGTAATACATTATTTTACGAAATTTTGTTCGTAACAGATGCATCACGTGTTAATATCAGCAACCGTCTCAAAATAATATACATTATATATTAATTCGTATTAAGACTCTTTTCTACAGAAAGAGACAACGAAATACCAAAATAAAGATTCAAGTGACAAACAAGCAAATTCATTTACAAACATGTTTTCTTAGCATAGAATACTCGAAAATCGATCTCGCCAAGCGTCAAAATACCATGCATTACGTAAAAACGGGAAGATAACGAGCGAGATTTGTAGTGTCTGCCCGATAGCGTCGTAAAACGACGTTACCTCCGTTTGTCTAGCTTCAATCAAGCCCGAGCATTCGCCGCGCATAGGGCCGCGATCTGATTCACGTCTATTTTGTTATCGCGAAACGTGACTAATGCCGTCGTACGCGAAATCGCAACGCTTCGCTCAAGCAAAGTTACGTTATTCCCGTAGTTACGTCTGTCCGTTTCAGAGACGTATCGCAACACTACTCGGGTGGTCAGTCGATGAATTCGCCATAACAGTCTCGGCGACTGCAGGTGCTCTCGAGAGAACAATCGCACCTGTGAGTTTACTCGGTTCGACGCAGCGACGCATCGTCTCGGGGCGATGCGTGTTTCGTCGAAATTGGATAAAAACAGAAAAAAAGAAAGAAAAAGGAGAAAAAAAGCGATTTTTTGCGAGCAGTATCTCGATCGGGTGAGATAGCGATCGAGGAAATGGTACGAATGTAGGGCACGAGAAAAGAGAAATGAAATCACCTCCATGATTGTTGAAGGAGCTCGGTGTCGAGTCGAGGGCCGAGATGTTCGCGTGGGAGAGACCGAGGGTCAACCCGAGGAGCACCGTGCTAACCGCCAGCAGCATTTTTCCCCTGTCGCCTGCCTCCGGGATATTCCGACTGTCAATTATACGGCCGGCAACACTTTGGCTTTGTCACACTCGCTTGGAACTCGCTTTTTTAAAAGAGCATCGCCGTCTACTGCACGACTCGCCTGTGACACCACGCACAATCGCGAAGTCAATATTTGAGCAGAATATCGATTCGCCAGAAAAACTGGTGTCGATTCTCGCCGCCAGTCGGCGCTGGCAGAGGCACAACTCTCGCCTCGAGATCGGGACAGGCTTTCCGCCACGCGAGAAATTTAGGATTCCCTAAAAGAAGTTTCTTTTTTTTTCCTTGCGCCTCGCGATTTCACGCTGCGAGGCTTTACGCTGGTCTTGTAAATACGAATGTTTCCACCGAGATGTATATGTAACAAATTTTTCTTCTATCGTAATATTGACACAATACGAACAACGAGAGAGAATCGAGAGTATTGCAGACGAGACTGAGCGACGAGGCACGCGCTTTACCTTTACGTAATTGCCGCAAGAGGCGCTTGTCCTTCCGCCATTTTCTACGAAAATAAATTTGAGGAAATTTGATTGCGTCGTACACGTTAATTGCATTACAAACTTGTAACATTTAATTAATAATTCTTTTATGTATGAGGAGCAACAATCTTTCGTATCTTTATTCTATTTTGTATTTCTATTTTAAACTGTAATAATAGATTATATTTGTTTTTTTAATTTTTTAAACATTAATTGAAATGTTAACTGCTAGTAAAATAATATTGAATTTAATAAAATGAACATTTCCCCTTGTTTGAAGCTGTTTTAAAACTTGTGATATTCTAATAACAATACACTAGATTTGACTAGATGGTTGCAACAAGTATACATTAAACTATAGTAATATTTAAGTATAGTTACATTTATATGCAAAATATCAACTATTACTTCCTTCTTAATCTGTTAATCCATATATAATTTTGGAAAATTATCTTTTTTTAAATATTTAAAATAGTATTTTTTATGCGTAAAGATTGTAGCAAATGTTTTGTAGTAAGTTTTATTATTAAATTTCCTTATTAACATTAATGTGACCACTAGTAATGGACTTTTTAACTTACGTTTCCTATCTTTTTGCAAACGTAAATTCAAAACTCAACAAAAATACGCAACATTTTAACTAATCAACTCTTGTTATACCAGTGGTATCAAACTCATTTATTCTAATTTTCTGTTCTACTGAATTTGAAGAATAAATATATAAATATATAAATTTCATAATATTTCTGCCAATATTATAACATTTATGTACAATACTAGATATGTGAGAATATTATATAACAAGAAAAGAAAAATGGTATCTAGAAGAGTTTTAGTTCTCAGGTTGGTTAGATGAGTTGTCATATGATGAATAATTATATACATTATCAAGCGTGGGACATTCCCATTGGGATTCCCATTTTTTTGAGCTTGTCTTTTAGAGAGTATTTAATGGGCATTTCTTTGATTCTCCTATCAGTTAGTCGACGGTTTCTCAAAATTACATTTACATGTTGTTATTCTAATTATCCATATTTCAAAAATTTTATTTCCAACATTATATAAAGTAGTGTAATGTTGCAAGAGAAACAGTGAAAAAGTTATTTTTATCATTAAATAATTAAAAGGTAATCGCGCATTTTCTCTTAATATCTTTTTGTTAATAACTCGAATATTTTATCATTCAAAATAATGTGTAAAATCTTAAGAAACATTAAGTTGTCATTTAAACTTAATAGGTAATATAAGTTTACTATTGTAATTTATAAACATATGTTGCAGGTAAGAAGATTTGTATTTGGAAAAAAATTTTGTAACAAATAAAATGGCGATTATAGATCCTGAATGGGTAAATATCAATTATATAGATACACATACAATCATTTTTAAAAATTTAAATATTTCTGCTTCCATATAACAATTATTCTATTTTTTTACATAGGATGAGATGTTAAATATTGCTGAACGACAGCAACAAGAATATTATGAACTTCTTCCAGAATGGACGAAATATACCAAAGATGAATATAAATATTTAAAACAAAACATTGCATTTGCAATTTTTGGTCCGCCATCAGAAAAGTCTGATGTTGCGTTGTGTAGTAATCTGTATTATTTTAATATATTTGATTATTTACCCAGTAATAAAGAGATTATAGACATTATATATAACAAAATACTTGAATTTGGAGAAGTAGATATAAACGAGTCATGCACAAAAGGTGTTTATTATGGATTAATTTACAACATAACATTTCGCACTAAAAGAAGTTCAGTAACAAAGAAATCTACCAAAAAGAAAAATGGAGAGGAAAATAAAATAAATATAAATCAAAGTCCAATATTCAAAATAAAATCTTCTAAGTTTGAAGAGCAACAAATATGGTATATTGACATAGAGGGCAGAGTGTATAAAAGTTGGATACAGTACAAAGAAAAAAATAATTCACCAGCATGCACAATAGTCCTTCCAAAGGATGGATTTTATCAACCTGATAAAAGTTGTGAAATTACCGAAGAATATTCAAAAGTATGGTTAGAAATTTTAGACTCACCTGCATGTAGCACTCTGCAAACTTTTCTTAATATAGGAGATACAGCGTCTAGCGCACTAGGTGTTGCTGGAATTGGTCTGGTTATTGCCTCTATGGTGACGCCTGTTGGACCAGTTGTGTTAGGTAAATTACATAAAGTTTATTTTATAGTTATAAATATGTATAAATGTTTTTCAGTTTATTTAAGTAATCTATATGACACTATTTTAAATAATCTATATAACATTATTTTAAGACTAACTCTTAATATTATAAAATGTAACGATAAAGATTAAGAGTAAGATTATAACATTATTACAATTGCAGGTGCGACAGTAGCTTCTGGTGCAACAAGTGGTTTATGGACAGTTGGCAGATCAATGCAAAAGTTGATTGACAGAAGTTCTCATGAACAAACTATAAATCCATTATATGATAGATCTGCATTGTGTTCGTGGTTAGCTATAACTGGTGGTACAGTTGGTTTGGCATCTAGTGGTGGAAGTGTTATTCTTACTAAACTTGCTGCAAATGGTAGTAATATAGGAAATATAACTAGGGTTGCATACAATACATTATTATTAAGTAATATAGGTATCAATGGTTTTGGTATAGCACATCAAGCATATTGTTTGTATGAAAAATATCAGAAAGAGGGCAAAGTTGATATTGCAGATGTAGCATTTCTGTCAGCTCATATTTTGTTTTTTGGTAATTCAGTCATGAATATGCAACTTGCGCAAAATCTAATTGAATCTACACAAGGTAGAATTTTAGATGATTATAGAGCCACATTGCGTTCCAGAAATCTTCGTAAACAATTTAATCGTGCAAACCGTGCCGCCGCTGCAAATAATCCAGATAAAATATCTCAAAACGCTCATGTCATACGCTATGTTAATAACAAGATGGAATTGCGACTTAAAAATAATGTGGGCAATATTCCCAAGATATTGGACAATATTAAAGATAATACTGTATCTTTTAAAAATGGAGAAATAGTAATTCACGGTATTTCTCTTCTGAAACCTATGAAATTTGTAGAGATATTACGTAAATACAACAACGAATGTCCAACAGAGAATAATAACGAAGGAAATAGTGGTACTGAAGATATGTTAAATCAATTAAAAGAATTGCTATTATATTTATTAAGAAATAACGAAACAGAATATAAACTTGACGTTAATGAATTCAATAAAACTTTGTATGACTTGAGATATCTACAGAATGCCACAAGTGTCCTTCCTTTAATATTTGATATATCTCGTAGACTGATAACAGAATCTGCATCTCCTTCGAACTATTTGCATGATGCAGTTCATTTTATATGGTGTTACATAAAAGAAAATTTGAGAAGTCATTTAAATAGGTATTTCTATCCTATTATTGATGAAAAAACACTAAAATTATTGAATAAAATAATAACAGCCCTATATGAATACATGGAGGATTGTGCAAGAGAATTATCACCTGCCTTCGCAAAATATATGAGAGAAAAACTGAATCTATCATAATGTAACGAAAAATTTACAAATAACACTATTTTCTTTAGTCAAGTTTGTATATATGTATACATTTGTCAAATTGTGCCTTAGAATATTATCATGTAAAAATAATATTTTTATATATTATTTTTAATTTTTACTAATTTTATTAAATAAATTAATTTGTAAAAGTACAATGCTTTTATCATTTAATCCTGGATCTATTCTTCTCCAATCTATTTTTTCTAACATTTTTATAAATAAAAATAAATAAAATTCAGAAATCAGGAACATTTATTTGCATCCGAAATATAAATGAACAAAATATAAGCGTTAAAAAATTAAAATAAACCAATTCTTGCAAACAAAAAGGAACTCAAGAATTTCAAAGATTCGCTTGAAGTGTTCCAAAACACTGAAACAATTTTTCTGATTGATATGAATTCCCGTTTAATTAATTAGTTATTAACAATTTCTTTGGCAAGTACCAAGCATAACATATGTCAACGATTTTTCAATAATATTAAATATCTAGAAAATTAATTTATATCTTACTTAATTATAGAAACTTCGTCAGACCTCTACTTTGTTATTTGTTCAAATAAGAATAATAGAATGTGAGTAACAACTGTTAATAATTAATTACTTGTACTAAAATTTTGATTGAAAATCATGCATGAAAACGTTTACGATTCAGCCTTTATTATAAAAGTAATTTCTGTTAAAAATAGAATAATTAATGGATAGTTAATAAACTGAACTAAGAAGTATATCTGTCCTTGTTATCGCAATAACACTATATTCTTCTACGAAAAAGATGTTGCTATCTGTTGAATTGCGACTAAAAATTTGGAAATGTAACAGGAATATAGAATATGCAAGGAGGTATCTGAACTACTGTTAGACAAGGAACGCAATACCAAGCAACAAAGACGGATACACACACGTCACAGACAAGGAGCGCGATATTCTACGACAAGGACAGACATATTTCTCTTCCTAACCTATTGAATTTCCACTAATTATTTGAATTTCAGGAACAATTCATGCACTTTTTGGAATCAAAGAATACAGAATAAACCTTAAGCAACATTCTCATACCGTTTTTGATACGATTGTTCATTTATTTAATTAGTTTATTTATTAACGATTATTTCGACAATTGTCTGGGCTTACGCGACGCATGTCTACGATTTTTCACTACTATCGAGCTTTTGCATCATTAAAGCTCGTTATTTGGAATCGTAGAAACTTCCTTAGACTCTGTACTCTCTATTCCATGTACAAAGATCATTAATTAATTATTTGTTAATCCAAATTAGACGAAAATTCATCGCGTCGGTTCTCCGTAGTAACATAGCTGGACGGATAGGCGTGCAATAATCATTAATAACTGTTAATTTAAGCAACAACTCCGATACAAAACTACATGTGAATGTCGCTTGTAGTCTGCATTTTATTCCACGATTCCAAAAGTGCATGATTTCCACCTAGACATCGAATAATTAATAAATATGCGATGAATTTGACAGAAAAGTACATGTATCCTTGTCACGTGACGTTGCTGTTCTTTTCTATACTCGAGTGCTGCCATCTATCGGAGTGGCAAAACTTGGACTGAAAACTTGGAAATGTAACAGGAACATAGAATATAAACAGAGGTATCTCGACTACTGTTAGACAAGAAGCGCAATACTGTGCAAAAAGGACAGATATACGTGACGTAAGAGAGAAGGAGGACACTATCGAACAACAAGGACAAATATACTTCTTTGCTTAATTTAATGAATATTCATTAATTACTCGATTTCTGGGACGAAAGCATGCACTTTTGGAATCGTGGAATATAGTTCTGACTACAGGCGACATTCACGTATAGTTTTGTATCAACGTTGTTGTTTAAATTAAGAGTTATTAATTATTGTTATACGACAGTCCGTTACTACCGATGATACCGGAGAACCGATACGATGAATTTTCGCATAATTTGATTTAACAGATAATTAATTATCAATGTTTATGCATTGAATGGAAAGAGCAGATTCTAAGGAAGCTTCTACGATCCCAAATAATGAGCTTTAATCTTCTAAAAGCTCAATATTAATGAAAAATCGCAGACGCGAATCGCGTAAACCAGGACGCTTGTTGAGATGTTTGTCGATAACTAATTATTTAAATGAAAAATCATATCCAAAACTATAGAGAAACGTTACGTAAGGTTTGTACTGTATTCTTCAAATCCAAAAGTGCATAAATTCTCTCTGAAATTCAAATAATTAGTGAAAATTCTATAGATTACACTTCCGAGTTTCTAGTCCCACGCCGATAGGTGGCAGCATTGCGTGACATTTTCCTGTCTAATTCATCCAATAGTCGCTAATTATTCAAAATCTGGTACAAAATTGGGAACTTTTGGAATCGTAGAATAAAAACCAATGTATAAGCAACATTTCTTATATGGTTTTATATCGGAATTATTGCGCGAATTACCAGTTATTAATTATTGTTGCGCGACAATCCGTTACTACGGAGTATCGACGTGATGAATTTTCGCATAATTTGTATTAACACGAAATTAATTAACAGTCTTTGTGTATGGAATATAAAGTACAGAGTCTAAGGTATCTTCTACGATTTCAAAAAGTGGGCTTTAAGATCGTTAGAGAGCGATATTAATGAAAAATCGTAGACAAGCGTTACGAAAGCCGAGACCCTTGTGGATAGAATCGTTTATAACTAATTAGTCAAACAAGAAATCTTGTCCAAAACTGTATAGGAATGTTGTTTGAGATCTGCACTTTGTTCTTTTATCCCAAAGGTGTACAAATTGTTTCTAAAAATCGAGTAATTACTGAATATTCAACAGATTGGAAAGAGAAATATGTCTGTCCTTGTCGTTCGATAGTGTCCTCCTTCTCTCTTACGTCACGTATATCTGTCCTTTTTGCACAGTATTGCGCTTCTTGTCTAATAGTAGTCGAGATACCTCTGTTTATATTCTATGTTCCTGTTACATTTCCAAGTTTTCGGTCCAAGTTTTGCCACTCCGATAGATGGCAGCACTCGAGTATAGAAAAGAACAGCAACGTCACGTGACAAGGATACATGTACTTTTCTGTCAAATTCATCGCATATTTATTAATTATTCGATGTCTAGGTGGAAATCATGCACTTTTGGAATCGTGGAATAAAATGCAGACTACAAGCGACATTCACATGTAGTTTTGTATCGGAGTTGTTGCTTAAATTAACAGTTATTAATGATTATTGCACGACAATCCGTCGTGCTATGTTAATACGGAGAACCGATGTGATGAATTTTCGCATAATTTGAATTAACAGATAGATAATTAATAATCTTTGTACATGGAATAGAGAGTACAGAGTCTAAGGAAGCTTCTACGATTTCAAATAACGAGCTTTAATCTTGCAAGAGCTCATTTACTAATGAAAAATCATAGTCATGCATATTATAGTCACGCGTAGGCCTAGCCACTTACTGAATCGTTTATAACTAATTAATTAAACAAAAAATCGTATCAAAAACTGCATAGGAAAGTTGCTTGAGATCTGCACTTCGTTCTTTTATCCCAAAGGTGTACAAATTGTTTCTGAAAATCGAGTAATTACTGAATATTCAACAGATTGGAAAGAGAAGTAAGTCTGTCCTTGTCGTTCGATAGTGTCCTCCTTCTCTCTTACGTCACGTATATCTGTCCTTTTTGCACAGTATTGCGCTTCTTGTCTAACAGTAGTCGAGATACCTCTGTTTATATTCTATGTTCCTGTTACATTTCCAAGTTTTCAGTCCAAGTTTTGCCACTCCGATAGATGGCAGCACTCGAGTATAGAAAAGAACAGCAACGTCACGTGACAAGGATACATGTACTTTTCTGTCAAATTCATCGCATATTTATTAATTATTCGATGTCTAGGTGGAAATCATGCACTTTTGGAATCGTGGAATAAAATGCAGACTACAAGCGACATTCACATGTAGTTTTGTATCGGAGTTGTTGCTTAAATTAACAGTTATTAATGATTATTGCACGACAAGCCGTTGTGCTAAGTTACTACGGAGGACCGACGCGATGAATTTTCGTCTAATTTGGATTAACAAATAATTAATTAATGATCTTTGTACATGGAATAGAGAGTACAGAGTCTAAGGAAGTTTCTACGATTCCAAATAACGAGCTTTAATGATGCAAAAGCTCGATAGTAGTGAAAAATCGTAGACATGCGTCGCGTAAGCCCAGACAATTGTCGAAATAATCGTTAATAAATAAACTAATTAAATAAATGAACAATCGTATCAAAAACGGTATGAGAATGTTGCTTAAGGTTTATTCTGTATTCTTTGATTCCAAAAAGTGCATGAATTGTTCCTGAAATTCAAATAATTAGTGAAAATTCAATAGGTTAGGAAGAGAAATATGTCTGTCCTTGTCGTAGAATATCGCGCTCCTTGTCTGTGACGTGTGTGTATCTGTCTTTGTTGCTCGATATTGCGCTCCTTGTCTAACAGTAGTTCAGATATACCTCCTTGCACATTCTATATTCCTGTTACATTTCCGAATTTCTAGTCGCAATCCGATGTATGTTTATTTATAGAACGAGATAGCAATATCATGTAACGAGGACAGACATACTTTCCCATTTAATTTGTGATAATTTTCGACATAAAACAATATACTTTTGAAATTCGATGATAAAGTACAGTTCTTAAACGATATTCCTGTATGATTTTGGACATGAATCTCTGTTTAATTAATCAAATATTAATAATTACTCTAGCGAGTTATCAATGATTTCGCAATATATATGTATATCCGCGTTTTTTCATTAATATTAAACTTTTATAAAATTAAAGTATATTCTATGGAATACTGCAAGACATTAATTAAATAATCTAATATTTGAGAAAATATTGCACAATTTTATATTAAATACGAGTCAATAGACTCATAATTAAAATTTATTTGTTGGTTTCAGCTATGACCATGAGAAAGTAACTGGAATATAGTGCAATTATCAATTACTATTAGACAATATGATACTCTGTGAGAATATAAATTCGTATACTTTTGTATCTTATCCTATACGTGTCATACTTGGGTATAATAAAAAATGGATCTTAAGCAACTGTCACACGTTTCCACAGTTTAATGTCCATTTAATTGATTAATTAGATACTTGAATAAGGAATCAAACTCTTAATTGGGTCAAAGGAATAAAAAGACAATTGTATAAAAATAAAACATAATGTCATTTATTGATTACAAATGATCACGAAATACAGAATGCACGATGTTAGAAACAGTCCTTTGTAGCACAATTTTAATATAATATTATAGTATGAAATTCCCGGAATTTACAATATACATACCAATTAATGTATTGAAAAATATTTATCAATATTTACAACTCACATGATTTTCCCACATTTTTCAAGAGAAAAATAACGTTATATTTAACCTTTGCGTGATCCGCAAACGAGTACAAACTGGATTGACTATTTCACCCTAAATTTTTCCACATTCTCGTCATATCACGCACACTTGTCCAAACAATTATCGCAGCTAACAATATATATATGTATATATATATAATAAAAATACATAGGTACATATTTCGTGCACGATATGATTTGAAAATTCTTTCATCACTCCTCGTGGACACAGTATCGTCCACCGTATTTATATTTTTGTTACAATTTTGACAGCGATAAATACAAATGTTATTGAGATTCTTAAGTACAAAATTAACAGAGCGTTTTAACTTACAGTGTTCCAGTAATTATGATACAATTGAGTTCATTGTCACCGTAAAAGTAAATAAAAACTGTAGAACTGAATTTTTTTTCAAGAATTCCTTTTCAAAAAAGTATCGGTCGAACTTTGGTCAAAAACCAGCCCGCGGTTTGATAAATTTTTTAATTTGACTTCTTCGAAAATGAAGCGTTCTACGAAAGAGATTTTATTCGACTTGTTTTATATTTTCAACTTGTTCTTTCATCCCGCTGTTGTATCGATATTAATGGAACATGCTGCATATTGATACACGCGTAAAAGAAACCATTCGACTTTCATTAATTGATATTTCAATCATGACACGATCGACTCGTTCGGATTGTTGATAATAATATTTCACCGTAACTACTCACGTCATTTTTACAAGCTCTACTTTCATATTTCCATGTGTCAATGTTTAGGCAGTTTAGGCTTTTACTACAAATATCTAAGAAAATAGCTAAACTTTTCTTCTCTTTTGTTACTCCTGCACTTCTGTTACATTAAAAATTTTGTCAGGCAATATAAGTCCGCTTTTTTATTTACAACAGGACATTTATAATACGATATTCATTACTTTCGTACTAGTACCTTTCTTAATTAGAAACGCTCACGCTTTATACGATAAAACGCAATTGAACGCAATTGAATTACTAGTTGAGCTGATTTCTCTTTATAAATATACATACACGTACCTACGCAAAAAAAATATCAGACGCTTGTATATAAGGTGTCTAATCTTGAAATTCAAAACGCAAAATTTTCATAATCTGCTCGACTTAGTACTTATGTATCGTTTGACAATTTAAATAAAGGTACTACAAGTGGAAGACCTTAGTTAAACTTATTAAAAATAATAAATGCAAAGATTCTGTGCAATATTTATCTCATGTCAATATAATCTAACATCTCCCATAAGACAAAAGCAATTTATCGATAATATCTGTCTACTCCTCTATAGATAATAAATTTATAAACTATAAATGTTCGTATAGTTAATTAATCGACTATCATTAAATCGATCGTTCATTGGTTAATGTTCTTTACATGGTCCACTCAAGACTCGCTTTAGTAAGTTAAATAATAACAACTATGTTGCTACGTTCGCTATTAAAATGGCTATCATTGCAATGAACAAAACTAATTAAATCACACGTTGTTGACTCAATAAAAATAAATGAAAATATATATATTTCTTTTTTTTTCCATTACTCTATGCTGAATAAATTTCAATGACGATAACACGATCATATTTAGAAAACTACGACTTTTTTTATTTATTTATATAATTTGTACTTTTTCTAATTGATGAAAGATTGCAAAATATAGGAAGCTTTATTATGTTATAAGTATCGCTCGATTGTTAAAAATATGCAAGTAACAGCAGTAAGCTGACAAGTCTCAGGAATTTATTTTAGGAAGTAAATTTACGAGTCTATGAGTATCCTTATGTTAGAATAAAACCTATAATGAAAATTATGTAACATGATTCGAGTTCTTATCATGTTAAACATTATCGTGTCTTTTACTTTTTCCTTTTTTTTTTTAATGAGGTATCAATTATGTCAGCAATTCACTATACGAATGTCTATGTTTCAACTACAAATCATTTTTTGTACCAGACACATTTACGCATTGACCATAGATCAGCATATATGTGCATGCAGTTATGACATTAAAGCAAAAATAAAGTAATATATTTTCTTAACCCTAGGACGTTTAAGGAAGGATCGGAAAGTGTCTAAAAGGCTCTAAATTATTTAACTTTTTCCAAAAAAAAATCTTCCAAATAATTTCTTGATTCTTGTTTTGGTTTCGTTTTTTTTTTTTTTTTTTTTTTTTTTTTTCTTCTACGTTGTTATCATCCTCTTTTAGCATTTTTTTTTTTTTTTAATAGCAAATATCTAGATATTTTATATTATTATATAACGTAAATAAACAGTATGAATAAATAAAATAATATTCATCGCTCTTTCTTTATATAAACACAAAATGACTTTTCTTTAGGCTGAGCTTTATCGTTTAACACCTTAGGCGTCCTTGGATTAATATAAAATATAATTATACTTGGATAATATACGTTTCTTTTAAGCCTAATATTATTGCTCTCTTATCCGATCCTTAAACACATGTATTATCATACTCCTCTTGGCAGTTCGCAATAGTAAAAATGGAGGTATTGTCATTATTACTTGTTAAATGGCTGACAATTGCAAATGAACGATTGTTAAGCACTGATTCCCCATACTTGGTAAATTTGTTCTTTTGCATGTAGAAGCATTACGTCAAAATTGAAAATAACCAACAACTTGTCCAAATTAATCTTGCAGCGTCAATGTTCCCGTGCATTGAATCGACATTTAAATTTTGAAACGCTTGATGATCTAAGCGTGATGCCTGCTGTCAGTAGAACTCTGAATCTGAACTGTGTTGTGAATCGCCGCTTCTACCATTTAAATATACTTCTGATGTTTGTTGAATTGACGGCGAATGTTGTGCAGCTTCCCAATTTTGGCCTGTTGTAACGATTGGCTCGTTAATTTGTTTATGAATAATGTTGGAAATGAAACATTGTAGAAGATCAATATACGTACCATGTGCAGCAAGAATAGTAGCTAAACATCGTGCTACAGCTGGATTTGGAGCACAGGCTAATGCAGGTGTGAGTCCCTCTGCATCGACAGCAACGACACTTGCACCCAATTGTAATAAACGTCGTGTTACCTTTGAAAAGTAAATTTCAATAACTACTCATATAACTCTAAAACATTTACTTAAATATGCTAAATTAATTCCTTACCGCTACAAGACCGTTTCTTGCTGCTAAATGTAATGGAGTTCTTTGTTGCTTATTGGTCATGTTAATAATGCTTTGCTGTTGCTGTGACGTGTTTTCACTGTTAGTATTAAGCGAATTGATCCAATTTAATAATAACGAAGCAGCAGCAGAATGTCGTCTTTGACAAGCTAGGTGAAGAGCTGTGTTTTTGTTACAATCAACAGCACGCACATCAGCTTTCCACTCAAGCAATAACTCTATCAATTAAATTACATTGATATGAAGAAATACTAAATACGTATTAAACACTCACGCAAAATCGAATAAGACATACCGATTGCACTGCATTGGCCTGTGATAGCAGCACAAAGTAGAGGCGTTCGACCCGAATAATCCGGCGTTTCGAGTCCAGCTAATTCAGGTCCAACAGAACTCAAAATCAGTTTTGCACATTCTACAGATCCTGAACTAGCTGCGACGTGCAACGGCAATCGACCACCTGGAATATCTCTTGGAGCAGCGACCGCCTTTCCCCCAAATTTATTTATTAATAATTCTAAACAATGTGCTGACCCCTGATATACTGCACAATGAACAGCTGAAAATGGAGTACCTGTGTATAAAACAAAATGATTTAGATTCCAAAAATAGATTTTTTTAAAGATTTTAACGGAAAAATACCTACCTTCTAACGAATCAATTACATTTTGTTCCAACAGATATTCCACACAATTTGAATTTCCATTGTAGCAAGCCCAATGAAGAACTGTACAGCCTTGATCATCTTTTAAAGTAGCAGCAGCAGGATTAGCTTTGACAAGAGATGCCAATGCTTTTACTCTATGAAAAAAATTAAGTTTAAGTAAAAATAAAAATCTGGATAAATTTCTTGATTATAGGTAGAAGAAACCAACCTTCCACACGCGGCGGCTAGATGTAATGGCGTTTTACCATTTGCATCTTGTATTGCTACTTGCGCGCCATGTGCTAATAACAATTCTACTAGCTGATGGTCACGTTCTTTAATTACTGCTCGAAATAATGGTGTATGTTTATTTATATCTGCTAAATTACAATCAGCTTTGTATTTTAAAAGCAACATAACACATTCCGGATTACTGTTTGCCACTGCTAATGTTAAAGGAGTTCGTTGCTTAATGTCGCAACAATTTATTACATTTGAATCGCCCGCATTTTCCAATAGAAATTCTAGACAGTTAATATGTCCTGCTGCTGCTGCACAATGTACTGGAGTACGTCTTGTAATTGAATCCTGGACCCATACACAAGCTCCATAAAATACACATAAAAGCTGAACGCATTGGTGGTGACCTTTATAGGCAGCTAGATCTAATGGCGTTTTACCAGTATCTTCTTTAATATTAGTATTAGGAAATAATGGTAGTAGCAAGCTTAATATTTGAATATGTCCATGATATGCCTACAAACGCAACTAATTATATTTTCAATTATTGAAAATGAATTTACTTCTTTAGACATACAGCTAGATGTAAGGGTGTTAATGCAGGTAATGGAGGTTCCGATTTTCCTGTAGAACCAGGCGATACAGTTAAATTTCCTGGTGGACAAGCTTCTAACAAAGCTTCTAAAGCTGGCTGATTTCCTCCAGCTACTGCGTAATGAATAGCAGTAAAACCTCGTTTATCGCGCAAACGCGGATCTGCTCTGTGCTTTAATAAATATTGTACGCATCTAAATATAGAAATAATAAATTAATTAAATCTAAATTTAAAATCTAAAGATATTTATTTCAAAATAAATTACATATAAACAATCGAACTTACTGGGCACCAGAATCCGTAGGATTTGATGCTGCAGCCAAATGCAAAGGAGTTGCACCATCTACGTCTTGTGCATTAGAATCACTTCCAAATCCAACCAAAGTAAAAACACAAGGGTAATGACCTTGACTAGCAGCATGATGGAGTGCCAATCTGCTATCATTATCAGTTAATCGAAAATTAGCTCCACTGGATAACAATAAATCTAAACAATCAACAGATCCTTTGAATGCTGCTAAATGTAATGGTGTTCTGCCACCAATATCTCTTGAATCTATACGCCGGCTATCAACTTGTAACAACTTTCTACAAACCTATAAATATCATTAAAAAATTAACATTTAATTTAACAGGAAAAAATTAGAATATAGAATACGAATGCTTTACTTCAATGTGGCCTGCCAAGCAACTAAGGTGCAATGCAGTACGCTGTTCAGCATTTCGCACCGCCGGAGATGCACCATATTCCAGTAAAGTTGTTGTTAAACATTCATGTCCAAACCTATATAAAATTAAATTTATAAATGAATATTGAAAAAATAATGAGATAAAATAGAATTATTATTGTAATTTACCAAGCAGCAACATGTAAAGCAGTATTTCCATTTTTATCTTTAGTATCTGGCAATGCTCCAACATCAAGTAAACTTTTTGATCGAGTAAATCTACCATGGATTGCAGTCATATGTAGAGGTGTACGCCCATCTTCCGACTGAACGTTTACTCTCAAACCAGCTTTTAAAAGTACTTCTAAACAATGAACACCATGAGTGCTAGCAGCAGCAACGTGCAACGGCGTTTGTCCCCGATAATTTACAGCCTCTACCAAAAACATCATTTGTCACAACAAAATTATAAAGAAATTTTTTCAACAAATTTTAGAATCATCTCACCAACGTTTGCAGCATTGGTAATTAATTCTGTAACTGCATCAGCATGACCATTTAAACACGCAATATGCAGAGGAGTGTTACCATATACATTTTTTGCTTCGATATCTGCTCCAGATTTAATTAATGTATGCATGCATTCTACATTGCCAGATGCTGCAGCTGCATGTAGTGGAGTATATAAATCTCGATCCTTAACAATACAAAAATAAATATTAATAATATTTCACAATATAAATAAGAGTAAGCACAGATATTACAACATTTATATTACTTTAACATCCACATCTGCTCCTTTTGCTATGAGTGTCCTCACAATTCCATCATGACCCATGTATGCTGCAAAATGTAGAGCCCTACGATCTTGTCTATCAGAAGCATTTATTACACAACCAATTTGAGCCAAATACTCTGTCATTTCCACATGTCCATTGTAAGCTGCATGATGCAGACTCGTCCTACCACCTCTGTAAATGTTCATAATGTACATGAACATCATAATATATATTCAAATACACATTAAAATAAATGTAATCAAAACACAAACCTGTCTGCTACATTAATGTTCATTAAATGTGGAACAATCAATTCAACACATTGAACTGCATTATTTGCTGCTGCTACATGTAAAGGAGTTTGCCAACTACGATCTCTAATATTAACATCTGCTTTATGACGTAACAAAACTTCTACCACATTGTGATTCCCTGAGCAACAAGCTCTATACAAAGGAGTTAACCACTTTTTATCTTTAGCATTTACTACAGCTCCATGTAACAGAAGTGCTACTACAATTGCTGGATCTCCCCTATATGCAGCTGCATGTAAAAGAGATCTTTGTTCCTTATCTTGCCAGTTTGGATCTTCCTTTCTTGATAATAGCGCTCGAACTTCGTCCACATCTCCAAAAAATATAGCTTGTAGCAAAGGAGACTGCAAAAATATTAATATTTTATTTCAAGATACATTGCAATTATATAGGATGTTGTATATGAGAAATACAGCAGGGACACACTAAAATATGCAAAAAACATTTAACAAAATATACTTTGTACATCCTCGCTTCTGAGTTATAGCTTATTTTGTGTCATAATAATTTCTTATTTTCAAAGAAATTCATCATAGTCACATGAATGTTAGAATAATTCATTTTATAAATAACTCATTTTCATTATTATTATTCATTATATTAAATCACACTAATCTTCCTTTTCTTCACTGAATGTAACTTATATACTAACAGAATGTAACTTATATATTCAATTATAATACAATATTTAATAATATTTATAAATCTACGTTAGCTTATAACCTTAAGATATGCAGTCTTAACAAATGTTTAACATAGAACTGATTGTTACCTATTACAGCACAAAACAAGCTGTAATAAATAAAGAGATACAAAGTATAAATTTACGAACTTTTTTGCTCATTTTGGTAAGCCAAATTTATCCTTGTCGTACTTTCCACATGCTAAGGAACACTCTGTATACAGATGTTTTTTATAATTATACTTTAATTATGTTTATAGAATACATCAGCACCTTTATGTTCCGAAAAAAACAATATAAATAGATGAAATTAAAAAGCTTCACATATAAATAACCAGAAAATAATTATTAGAAAAAAAATTGCATAACATGCAATGTTGCAATAAATCTATATTAACTTAAAGTTTCTAAACTTCGAATTATATAATAACGTGAAGGCGTAAAATACTAACAAGATTATTATATCGTAATGACTTGGAAACAAATCAGATATTTGACACATGAATATAACCTCTGACCTCACGGTCTATGCATTCAGAAATTGTTTAGCGAGATGTATTCATTTAAGCAAATAAAAAGAGAACATACCCCGTCACGCAATTCCTGCACGTTCATGATTAATAGATTTGTTAAATTGATACAAATACGGACAAGTATTTATAAAAACATAGTTCTAGAACTGTAAAAAACTGACATAGTAGTGTGAGTCATACTTCACAAGTATCACGGAGTTGTTACTTTCATTTTACAGTCGAGTTCAATATAAACATATTGTGGCATCAATTTCTCTTTCTTTCTTTTTTTTTTTCTCTCTTTTTCTTAAATAAGCAGCGACATCATGTATGAAATGATTATGAAAATACATGCATAATAATTTTATCTCCAAGTATAAACAGTTATAGCTATCTTCTCATAGTGCACTCTATCTTTATTCTCTCAAATTATCAGAAGTTTGTAAATAGTAGATGGAAATGCAAACGATACGCTCGCGCGAAGATTAAATCGTTTATCTTTAATCATGCGAAATATGATACACGCTTATCTTTCAACTGTTTCCTGTTGCGTCGTGCATAACAACTTTTTTAGGGCAAATAATAATATTATTACATATGTATGCCAATTTTCTGCGCTAGAAATGGATATGAACACATTCGACCAAAAGCGATACTGTATAGAAAAGATTAGAGAAAAGAATGTACATAAGTTCGAAGAAGAATTGATAAACGGCTCGTTGAACGCGGTACCTTCGACGTTGAAATTTACCTTTGATTCTGGAAATTTTAAAATTCAAGAAAAGAAAATAGAAATTATGAACTGCTTCCTCAAACCATGCCCCATACGATTTTTACCATTGGAAACTGATTATTTTAGATTTAAAAATGTCTATCAGGTGAATAAAAAGAATTATACGTGCATAATTCTCTGTTTAATCCTTTATGTTTCATGTAAAACTGAGAATTGTATTGTATATTATATAGAGAGCATGGCTCAAACCTGGTTCTGTTTTCAAATTGAATATTTTATTTATACCTGATGAGGATAGAGATTACAATGATATTTTGAAAATATGTTATTTCAATGATCAAACGATGCAAATAAAAATTTATGCAGAAATGACGATCAAGTTTTCTTTCCCCGCTGTTGTAAATTTTGGAAATGTACCGCTTGGTCGGACGTAAGTTAACTCTTCGATCATTGTGCCGTAATAATAATAATAATATAAATCCTTGCAGAGTTTCTTACAAAATACCAATACACTCTCACGCAGAAAAAGATTTCTCGTTCGCTATTATACTATTTAACGGAGGATCGTGTGTCGACGTTTATCCTCAACGGGGTACATCCGATTCATAATCTTAATTCATAATCAAATTAAATTACAATTTATAATCATAATCTTTCGTTTTACGACATATCATATTGTACTCACGTTTTAGGTCACGTAAAATCGAAACAGAAACCTGTAACAATCGTGGTTATCTATAGACCTCTTCGCTATATAAGTATGAATTTTCAAATTCGAATATTCATATCTGATTTATGCAAAGCTCCGCATATTATAAATTTCTATGCGTACACTCGACCAGGTCTCTTACGGTGAGAATCCCTGCAAACAGAATCTTTTATTAGAAAAGAAAAAAGACCATGAGAATAAACGCGAATAAAAAAACGTTACTGAATGATTAGAGAAATACTGGAGAACGTCGAAATAAAAATAAAAAGCAAAATGCAGCGGAAAAAGATTGGCATGACTTTTTGCAAAGAAATGAAATCAATTTCCGTAAAGAAAGATAAATCAAAATATTGCCTGAGAGAATCTACCGCGAAGTACACAAGTTTTGAGAAACTTTTGCTAAAACAATGTAGTCACTTCCCCTTGTATACGCCGCATGCCGTCAATTGTATTCTAAATTCGAAAATTCAAAGGTCATTCAGGGAATACGAATTAAAGGGTTAGAGTTTTTATATATGTACATGCTTACGTGAAAAATATACGAGTTAACTGTTCGTTTGCTATAGGACCGTTGGGTGTATTTTTATTTCAAACTATGGAACAAAAAACAGAAAAATTAAAGGAATTTTTGGCAAAAATGGAAGCTCACTATCGGAAAAATGAACAAGCGAAGTTTCATCATAAGCCGAAAGTGAATTATGGAACGTTCGATGCTAGTGAAAATCAAATGATAGAAATTAAAACGCAGCGAGAACTAGCTTGGGATAATTATAAAAATTTAACAACAATCTCGGAAAAATATATCCTTGAACAAGAGAAACCTAAAAAGATAAGACAAAGAATATTAAGAGCTTCCAAAAAAGTACATACATGTTTTCATTACGAATTACTTACCGCATAAAAAAGAAATCTTCATATATAAATCTTCTTTCGTAGTATCCAAATACAACTTCAACGTCATTTCGAAAGGAAGAGTCATTTTTTTATTATTGCAAAATTCTGCTCTTTCTTCAAACGGCTCGCAAAATCGTGTTAAGGAATCGATTGCTAAATGTACTTTCAAAATTGCAAGGATTAACACCCGAATCAATTATCCAATTTGAAGAACCGTTCATAGGAAATTATTCGCTTACATCGCAAACTTAAATATTAAAACGACATACAATCTATAATGTGATCTAGTTAAATATTCACCGTTGTTACTAAAATATTTAATTTACTGTAAGAGGATTAAATCTCGAAGAAATCGGATCATTGCAAATATTTGATTCACAGTTGCATCCATTATCATTTATAGGTGGCACTGTTACAAATGCCGCCAAAACATAGAAAAAAGCGTCTGCTCATGATACATATTAGTAGTCTGAAAATAGGAAGTCTGCAAAAGTATAAAGTATTTTTAATACAATTCAGTATTTTAGGTATTAGATTTCAGATTTTAGTTCTTCAGATTTAAATACTAAAAAATGTGTTTCAACTTAAACACGAATGTACATTGAATAACTTATGCTTCTTCCAATAATACTGAACACATGGATTTTTGCTTAACTTTCAATTGCAATGGAAAGGTGAACCTTAACGATTGGGAACTAGATAGAAATGGTTTATTTATACGTGGAGAAGTGGAAAACGTTTTATATCCGCAAGATGACTGTCCCTTGTTGGGAAAGCATGTACAACTTTTTAACTATAGTATGCCCGCTGCAACAGCATTGTTAGACCTAAAACATTTTAATAAATGCATGAAGTAAGAAGTATTTTTGTGTGATTATATATACAAGTTATTTTATCTTGTCATAAAAATACTTCATTATATTTATTAGTATGTTATGTATTTTTTGACAGTATGCAGTTAAAAATACTCAGCAGATACGAAACTTACAATCAAGTTTTAAGTTCAAAGACAAATGATGTTGAATTTTATTATGTAAGATGTGTTATATCAGAATTTATTTTATATGTTCGAATGTACTTAAATAGGTAAGATAATTTATTTTTCAGTTATTTATTTTTTTTACCAGTATGTGTGCTAAAGATATAAATTTATAGTATTAAAGGAAATTATCAATTATTGAAAACTATAAATGAAGATATCGAAGAAGAATTTAATGAATTATTTATTATAATGAAGCATTTTTTGGAAAGAATACGTAATATCCCTGATACTACATTTCATTATGCACCATCTAAATTAGGCAATCAGGTTTGTAAATAAATGTAATGATATTTAATATAATATAATTTTATGTTTTGTACCTTACAGTGTATACAACCAGAATATCATATGTATCATATGCACATTGAATTAAGGTGGTATTTTATCTCATTGATGTATGCAAAGAACATATATTGTCAATATTCAATTGAAAATCACTTGGATGAATTTGAAAATATGCAAACAATAATTATTAATGATTTAATTTATATTTCATTAAAAATATTTGAAACGGTAAAAATATATTTTCATAAAAATATTGTGATTAAATATTTAGATGTGTCTCTTAGACCTGTTTTTTCTTTGCAATATATTTTAGATGCCTTTGATACATGTACAACAAAAAACTCCATATAATTGTACTTGCATTCGTGAATTATGGCTTATGCTTCAAATATTTATTGATAGCTTATCTGACAGAATGAAATCAAAGGTATTGTAGTATATAAAATAGTATATAGCATATAATACATAAAATATACTTTTATAATATATTTACAACTATTTTTAGTCATTTTGGGAGTATATAAATGATTGTATCAATGGATTATTGAACAGGAATGTATCTAATAAAAGCAAAGAATTTCTTACACTTCGTAAAAATTCTGAACTATTCTGTTTATGGATTGTTCATCATCTGTCACTGCTATATGGATACAATAGTGATGGAGTATACTTAGGAGCTAAGTGTTCAAGGGTGATTATATTTTTGTTTATTTTTACATCTCTATAAATTAAATAATAATAACTATTTTTCTTTTAAAGATTAAAGCAAACTATGAACAACTAGAAAGAATCTTGAAAACATATATTTCTAAAGGTGGAAAAGATGGTGAACGAGATGAAATTGATGAAGAATTACGTATAATGATACCTTTATTAAATACTATTGTTATCAATTGGTGGCAACCTCGAGTTTCAATCATTTCACTTCTTTGGGATTGTTTTCACAAAAGATTAGATGAACCATTTCTGTTACAAGCATCTGGTCCTTGGACATTGTCAGTTGAAAAGTATGTAAATACTTTATATGTTTGCATATTTTTTATCACAAATTTAAAAAAGTTCTTTCATAGGAAATCCACTATGGATCTTCTTAAACAAATAAAAGATAGAATTAATAATACGGAATGTATTAAAGAATCAAGTTATGGAATGTTCTTACGTCTGCTTGGTGAGTCTTGACTCTATATAAATTAATTGAATTAATAAACATATTGATTACATGTAATAGTATTATAATTACATATTGTAGGATCCTTTTTACGGATAAATTATAGTAACAATGATACAAAACATTGGAATCAAATTAAAGGTCGTATTTATTCTAAATTTTCTAAGAGTAAAGTTGAAGAATTTTCTATAACTGGCTTGTATAATTTTATTTCATTATTTTTAACATTAGCTGTTACTGCTGATACTATAAATGTTGTAAGTTTTGAATTATTTTCGAAAATTGTCTTTGTGAATATTAACAATAAGTTTATTAACAATAGGTTTAATTAATTTATAGTGCTCAGTAATGTTAGATCTTTTACCATTATCAAAAGAATACAATAGGGAAAATAGTAAAAAACATAATTTAATTTGGAAAGGAAAACTGGCTGTTCTTCTTTTATATAATGATCTTAAATTGAATCTAACAAATATAGCACCTCTATATATAGATACGGTACAGTACATAATTTAATTCTAATAATTTAGAATTTTCATATCTTTCATTGTAATTGAATTTTTAGGTAAATACTATATGTTGTCGCAAAGATGATACATCCCGTGCAATGATGAATAATTTTATCGATGTATTCAGTACTATTTTATCACACGATAGTATTGAATTAGGAGAATATTTATTATTTAGTGGATGGATAGATCGATATTTATTAGAATGTTCAAACAAAATGGTAGGAACATTAATGAAAGTATTAGTTAACGTTTTTGAAAGATGCATTTATGTTGCTAAGACTTCTAATACAGGTGTGTTATTTTTTCATTGTATAACACTTTTAACTTGTATTATTTGTATTTTAATTCATTTATTCGTAGGCAATGTAGAACAAATGTTAGATGTTTTATGGTGTTATGTTGCAAGTAGAGTTAGACAACTTGTATTTGATCCTGTTCTTACTAATGAACATTATAAAAATATTTCAAAACTTGCCGTTTTATTTACTTTGGAGGCATTGAAAAATCCAACAATGGCAAAGAAGCATAAGCATTCAGCTACATCTCTATTTCAACTTTTTGCATCATCAATAATTGTTAAAGACATAAGGTAATAAAAGTAAAGATTTATGATACCATGATCGAAATATATTGTAAAATTCTCATTTCAGAATTACAAGACATTATTTAATGCTAATACTTAACCAAGACCAAGCAATTCATGATTTGAAGAAAGAAATAAAAAATTTTGATATAATACTTATACAAGTTCGTAAATAAAATTAATCAATAAATCTTTTGAGAAATATTTTAATATAACATTCAAATTTTAGGCATGGATAAAGTGTTCTATCATTGGTCATGATACAAACAAAGATGAAGTTAAAGTTTTACAAAATTATGTATTAGAATTAAATGATATCAAGGAAATTTTCGAAACATCTGAGAATATTCAAGAATTTAAAAATAATGATAAATCTATTTTAATGTTTATAATGCATTCAATGAAAAAGAGAAACACTTTAAAAGTAATGTTATTATTAACATTCTAAATATATATTAGAACACAGTTTGGAACACTCATTATTAATGTTTTTTTAGACTGAACAAGAACGAATTCAGTATGATATAAAATGGAAATTGTATTTCAATCATTTAGAAAAATGGATTCTTTCACCTATTACAGAAGAAACTAAAGATTCAGAATTGGCTTTGTGGATATATAGATGTATTGGAACACTATTTCTCTGTACTTCTATTATGTTATATTCTAAAGTAAGTGTACACAATATTATTCTACATAAATGAGAACTAAATTATATTTAATTTAAGTATTTTTCAGAATCAACCAAACAGTATATTTAAAATATTACTAAATAAAACTATATTATCAGTGGAGCAACCTTTTTTAAAAAATTTGGGAAAAAAAACATTTTCTATGATACTCTTGGGTGTGGAAGCCCTTAATGTTAAAAGTGATATATCACTTCAAATACTAATACGAAATCTTTTTGATCAATACATGCCACTCTTAATAGTACCGACTGTTAATGCAAATAGTTTCAAAGTATCCGACTCATTACTAAAGTGTTTTAAAGATGCAAAAGCAGATTTTATACGCTTAATATTCGAGATTTTGATGACGAATTTTTTTAATATTTCAAATGACAATATGATGCATAAACATTCTTATTTAGTATGTATTATTATATATATGTACTACTTTTTTTTTTATATAATTGTAGAATTTATTACAATTTATTACGTTTTTAACACAGGTAATGATACTTTTACAAAATCTGCTTAAAGATGAAATAAACTATGCATGCCACATAACAGAATCCATTATCGTAATTTGCACATCATATATTATTGGATGCTACATAAAAGTTCATGACCACCATCCACATAAACAACAAACTATTGATTTCATAGATAATATTATTAGAAATAGATATTATAAAGATAATAATTCTTTGCAGTAAGTCCATTAATTTTCATTAGTTTAATATTTGCTTTTAAATAGTAATTTGTAAAATTAAAAATTACAGGAATAAGTTCTATGATATAATATCCAGTTCTGTTAGAAAGTCATTATTAATAAATCAGCATAATACTTTTGAATTTTTACATTCGATTTTATCAATATCGACTGAAATAATACAATTTTTATCGCCAGAACTGGAGCATAATTTAAGTGATTTGGAAATTAATCGACGTCCAAACGCAGCGTCTTTTAGGTGAGATAACCATGAAAAATAACTGATTTTAAAAACTATTGCACAATTTTTGTTTCACTTTCAGATATTCCTGGAATCAACTTCAAAATCTTATGAAAAGCATTAAGACAAATCACTAATAAGCTTAAAAAATTTATTAATAAATATCTGATAGTATCATACTGATACTTTGATATTATGCTATGAATTGATTAGATACATGTAAATTACACAAACGGATAATTATATCTGTATACATAATTTCATGTAATTATATCTTACAAATTATATTTCAATTATTTTTCAAAAAATAAAGCGTAATTCTAAAATTATACATTGGAAAAAAGTTAATATTACATAAAGCTATAATATAATTATTAACCTATTAAGCTGTAGAATATATCGTAATTAAAAAAAGGACGTAAAACGTCCAAAGTATGTAAACGTAACAAAGTATGTAAAAAAGAGCACAGTCACTTTTTTTTATTTTCGATGTGAGTGTCTTGAACGATGATGTTTTATTGTAGTAGTTGTACTACCAGGAGGTGATCGTCATCCAATTAATTCAAGGCGGGATACGGCATTACGTACAGCATTTCGTAGAGATTGTTCGACATTTCCATTTAGTAATGATTCAAGTCTTTCAACGTAATTATCAATATTCTGTAATGTTGCACCTTCATTTGTGCCTAAAAGTAGAAAAACAGACAGTAATTCTAAATGGGAGTACAACTGAATAGAAGATTACTTATACAAATACTACCTGGCAAAGGTACTGTAGCAAAACAATTAGCTAATTGTGAACGAAGAGAATCCAAATGACGCTGTAAAGCTTGATTAGTTGTATGTTGCTGATTTGTTTCAGATTCTAAACGATTTACAGCTGCATATAAACTGTCTACATGTCGTTGAAGCACTGCATTTTGAGCTTCATAATCTGATGTAGCTTTTCTCAATTGTCTCAATTCAGCTTCACAGGCTACATGTATAAAAATTATGTAAATAAATTTTTATATTGTAACTACAACGATCCCGCTTATTCATCACAGTCTTTTTTCGTTAATGACGAAAAAATGTTCATGTCAGTTTTTAATTAAATATTTTGTATATATAAAAATAATTATATATGCAATATTCACCTTTATTATGATCCAAAAATTCCTCTGTAAAAATAGGTATATCAAAACCTGTGAAATCGTTATCTTTATCTTGTTGAATATCCTATAATTAAAAGATTAAATATTAGCATAGACATATCACAAATAAATTGAAATACAACTGATAATTAAAGTGAAACAAATGTACATTTTGTTCAGAATTTATATCAGTTCCATTCCTCTCTTTTTTGCTCTCTTGTTGTTTTTCCGAAGATTGTTTTTCACTAAATAATCGATATGCTTCTGTCTGTTTATAATCACTAAATTCACGATTATAACGTTCTTTATCTTGTTCTGCTGCATCTAAATATTGTTGTTTTTGATCAGCAGGGAGTGTGCTCCATTCTGAGGCAAGGAGCTTTGTAATTTCAGCAAATGACAGAGTAGGGTTTTCGCTCCTTACTTTTTCTCTCCGATCATTTAAAAACCTATTACAGTTACCAAATATATAATGTTAGCTATATTTTTCATTCTCATTATAATTTTTTTGATTAGATATACCTGAAATAACCAGTTAAAGGTTGTTTGGGAGCTGTAGCATCTCTTGGAGCTTTCTTTCTTTTCTTAGCTCTATTAGTTGTATTAGTAGTGTTACTTCCAATTACAGAACTATTATTTTTTTTAACTCCGTTATCACATATAGAGTCAGGTGTTTTGTCTTCTCCACTTTCAGGTGATTTGTCTGATAAATGAATCATTATGACAGAGTATTATAACAGAGCAATATTTTTTATTTTAAATAAATAATCTAGCGTACGTGTATGTTCCTCAGTCTCTCCGTTGTAAGTTGGTTGTTCTGATCCACCGTTGCTCTCTGGCACATCAGTAAGCAGTGCATTTTCGCTCATCTTTAATAATAAACTTCTTCACCGCGTTTTAATATATTATTTATTTTAAATAAAATATATAACTAATATCATTAAACTTAAAGTTACAATTCTATCAGTGCTTGAAAAGTTATGTGATACACAATATTACTTTATAGAAGACATAAATTTAATAATTACGCATACATACATATGCCAACTTATTAGGTTAAATGATGCTTATTAAGTTAGATATTGATATATCTATAATAACAAAGCACAAAGAAAGCACTATAACAAATTCAGATGAAGGTATTACTCTGTCATCTACATTCTTTTTAAATAAAAATCAATCTTTTTACGAGAAAAAGAACAGACTATCGATGAAAACACATAATTCCAAAACTTCGTTGGCATAAACACTGCAGTCAAATTCTCATGAGAACAGTTCGGTGACGCTAATTCAAAAACTGATTATTTTACCGCTGAATCACAACGTGGAATTTAGATTTGAGAATACGCTTTTAATAAAGAATCACGTTTTTCGCGGTATAAGAACCTAATTTATATACTTAAACAAAGCCTACTGGTTAGCGCGATGTTTAATCATTGTTATAATGTGATATTTAATTTTATGTATTGTACATGATAATATGGTATGTGAAATATGGAAGTACACGATAACTCAATTATTCTTCAAAGTTGCAGGTAAAATATTATATTTGAATTTTTATGGTGAGTGAGACCTTTTATTTTTAATAATGAGAAAATGATTTTTCCAGCAACGTGACTGTAGCAGACTCGGTATGGAAATTTATCAACAATCCTGTAATTGCAATATTCTCCGATTTAAAAAATGCGACTGCCAAACAAATGCTTTGCTCTTTGCTGGAATCAATAATTAAAGGTTCAGCTACTTTGACAACAGTTTTAATCCCACCTTTCAGCAATGGAATGCAAAATGAAACGTTAAAATGTCAATATACTGGTATAACAATTACGAGTAACAATTATTAAAAATATTAAAGGTTGTTCAAAAACTTCGTAAAGTCAATGTATTTTTGATTATAGCATTTACCACATGGTTGTTTGGTATTATGTTTTACCTGATTGGAAATCCCTTAAGCAACGAAGTTTTAGACAACAGTGTAGAAATACAAGCTTGTATGCTTAGAATATTATCCAGACATCACGTCACAATGTTTGAAACAATTAGTAACGAATATATGAACATTCTTCAAGGTATAGACTTAAAATAATGCCATCTTATATGCAGTGTCTAACCGCATTATGAATTTTAGAAATATCGGAATTTTACAAGGTCCATGGAGAGGAAGATGAAATTATATTGGATAAATTTCATACAGAGAAAGATGTTATAGAAAATTTGGATCTCCAAGCATTTCCTGTTGCAATAAAATATTGTGATATACCATTAGTACAAACATCTATAATTAAAGTAATACATCTTCATTTGATTTATATCAATATGTCTTTTATTATACTAAAAATTGTTGCACTTCTTTTTCCAGATTATAAAAAAGACAGGAGTTTCTGTCTGGAATCCTAAAATACTTTCTGAGAAAGTATTGAAAGTAGTTATCATATCTGCTCCAAATGTAAAATTTATAGGATTAGACCTTTCTCTAAGATTAATGGAATTTTCATTATTTAGCAAACAAGTAAGTATATTATTAATAAGTTAAAAAAATATCAAAATATCAATCATTTGAAACTGAACATTTTAAGGAACATGAAAATTTAGTACTTTGTATCATTGAAATTATTAAAACACTTCCTCTTTGGATAAACTTCAGAGAAATATCAGAGGAACAGTTAAACCAATTTCTACAGATATGTATTGAACTTATTCAATTTTTATCAATATCTTCAAACAGCATTGAACTGTGCTTTCAAATCATTGAATTTACAATTAATGAAATAAAATGTGAGTTAATTATCTATATTTTACTATCTCTCTATAACAAGTTATAAATTGATGATTCATTTTAGATCATGATGCTATCTTTAATACTATAAAAGAAATAAAAAGAATAGCATGTAACAAGATTCTACAATATTTTATCATGGAACCAAAGATTTATATTCTTTCTGAAACAAAAAGATTTATTTCATATTTTGAAAATTGTCCGGTTTGTATAACAATTAAAATTAAAATTATAAAATAGCATATTTAATATACAAACTTTTATGGTATATACATGATCGTTATTTTAATACAAAATTATTTTAGGACTTCATTATGATTTTTGTGCACTATATTTTTATTGATATTAGACATACAAGTAGTGCAAATACTTCAGTGAGTAATACGTGTGAATTATGGAATTTATTAAAAAAAGAGTTAATAACTGCAACAGAAAAAGGGAAATTTGAAACAATTGTGCATATTTTAAAAGCTTCAAATATTTTACAATCATGGTTAAAAGAGCTGCAGTTAACAACAAATTTGTATACACATGAGTTAGATTATGTTTTGAAAGTACTATTACAGAATCTAAATTCTGGGCTATGTCAACAAAAAGATATTATTTTTGAATGTTTAATGCATATAATAGCACATGATGAATCAAATAAAAATTTAATTCAGAAAATATTGATATTACCATTTATGCATATTGAAATTCCTGTGGATATAGTAAATAATCATGTAAAAGAAATTGCTAAATCACTTAATACTGCTACAATGTTAAAATGTCTTGAAGTTTTATGTGAACATGGTAATGGAATTGAACGATTAAAGGTATTAAATACATGTATAATAGGCCATCAATCTGAAATAGCAGCAGGAGCAGTATTGTAAGTAATTTTTGTAGATATTATATTATTAATGAAATATATATTTTAAATTATGTAAATATTGCATAGGAATAGTGTACTACTTTTAAGGAATGAAGAAATACAATTGAAAAGTATTTCGAACTATATTCTTCAACCTGCATTACATTCAAAAGAACAAAAAGTTCATGAAATGCTTGTAATTGCATTGAGTAAAATAAGCTGTTATTTGTCAAAATGCGGAAATTTCAGAAGGTAATTCGTTATATGATTTATTTTGTTAATCAATAAAATGTTTAACAAAATATTTTTGTTCACAGAAAATCTGATAATACGTGGATATTAAAATGCAAATATTGCAATGATATATCTGAAAGCAATGTAAATTCTAATGCTTATGTCTCAGAAGAACACGATATTCTTCTTCGTCCATATTTTAGTTTATTATCTTCAAATTTTGTTTCAGTACGTTTGAACTTCTCTGAAAATATACTTTCTTTTTCAAATCACATTATGTCTTTTAATAGTAACGAAGTAGCAAAACTATGGTTTTTATATATAGAAGATGAAAATCCTGTAATTCGTTCCAATATTGCTGCAGCAATAAAAAGATTATTGCTAAATAAAATAAGCATTGTATCAAAATTTACCTTGATTATTGAAGATGATGTACCTGTTTGTTTAAACGAATTTGTCGAAGCACTTATAAATACTATAGCACAAACGCTTATAAAAGTTTTAACAAATACAGACCATGCTTTACACGACACTTTACTTATTACTGCAAAAAATTGTGGATGGTATAATGAATATTTAAAAATATTTATTTTATTTGATATAAATCTTATAATTTCCTAATTTTCTTTCAATTTCAGTGTTCCGTTGTACATAATGGAAAGGCAAATTTTGAATATATTTTTAATTACTATAATGCATTCAATGTCATCTTCAACAGCAGTAGCGTTTGCAACTACTGCATATCATGATATTGCTAAAATCTTAAATATTTCTCCAAAGATTTTATATGTTCGATATAAAAAAGATTTTCTCAAGGTATATAAATTTTACTAAAATTAAAAGATATAAAACTATATTTTATTAAATAATGTGTTTGTTCATTTTAGCTTATAATACAATATGCAGTTCATAACTTTATACATTATTCTTACAATATGGCTACATCTATACACCGTGTTGCAAAATGTATTGGATATGAAGGATCACGTCAATTATTACGCAAAGATGGACATTATGCAGTTTGTTTCTTGCTTTCTTTTATCATTGATATGCCAAATACAAGAACTCTCTTACATGATATAGCAGAATTAATTAGTATGAATGAGAAACAAATGTTAAAAGAATATTTTCCTGTATGTATAATAAGAAAAAGTATTTATTTTATGGTTGCTAGTTACAACTTTAATTTAAATATATTTGTTTAGTATATTTGCAGTTATGCGCTTCTGAACATGCCACTTGCTACTGGTACGGAATGTTTAAGATTAGTCTCGAAAATTACGCAAACAAATTTGTCACTTTTAACAAGACAATCATTTATGGTAATGTCCAAAAAATATTACATTATTAATACTTAATTTTAACAATTTCATAACTTAATAGGGGATATTTGAAGAATTAATATTAAACTTTCACGAATCTCCTGAGAAGATAGTTGGATTATTAAAAATCATATCTGATTATGATAGTAATGCAGACAAAAATTACGTTACAAAAAAAGGGATTGTGAGTTCATATCTTTAATGTTTATTTCCCCTTTGTTTTTAGAAAAAAAATCAAATATATGTAATATTTACAGGAATCTTACTTAAATTTACGTTTACATGGCATATTAGTTAACTTTGACATAAAACTTGGATCAAAGTCAGATGAACATACACAGCAATCAGCACTTGCTTCATTAGCTGCACTAATGCAATTTATGGGTGCACAATATTTGACACCGCTCAGGTATAAAATTTTAGCGACACTACGAACTTCACTAGGATTTAAAAGACCAGGATTTGGACCTCTTGTTTGTGATGCATGGAATGCATTTATTCATAAGTATGTAATAAAAATCATTATCTTTTTAAATAACAAATAATAGACTGTATTTTAAATTTTTAGCATAGCTATGAAAGAACTTGGTCCATTGTTGCCGACAATATATGTTTCATTAATATCACTCTTCAATATGTATCAAGAAAAAATAATCGCAATGCTGAAATTTCTCGTTATTAAATGTAACGAAAATTGCCCAGATCACATTGCAGAATTGTTTTTTATAGATGATATTGAAGTTCCTATTGAAATTTCAAGCATAATTAAAGCACACATTTTACAAACTAAGTATATAAAATATATATATTTTTTCAAGATATTAAATCGTATATAGATTACTATGTTAACATTTGTATAAATTTTAGACCTGCAGGATTTGAAGCAAATTTAAAATTATGGCTTAAACGAATTACCCATGAAACGGACGAGGTAGTAAGCAAAGCTTTAAAGTATTTACAAAAATTTTTAGCTGAAAATCGTATTCAATTGAACGAAATGATTTTAAGTGAAACAAATATTCATCCATTAATTGTTGAGGTATGTTTGTTATTTAAAATAAAAAATATATGAATGATATGTAGTAACTATAATGATATATTTAATGATTTAACTTTTTAGCTATTACATACGTTATTAATTGGATGTCAACATAAAGATGAGTCTGTCCGTTTATTATATGGCGAATGTCTAGGAGAATTAGGTGCTATTGAACCAAGTCTTCTCCCTCGTAGGATTATTTCTAGAGGTATATTATCTATTAATTTGTTACTCATTTGATTTTTATATTAATTTCTCTGTTTTAGTTGACAGTAAATTTATTCCTGATATGAATGAAGAATTTGTTTGTGCTATGCTTTTCGAGCATGCTCGAGCATTTCAAATGCAGAAAAGCAGTCAAAGTATGGATTGTTTCTCACTTGCTATTCAGGTAAATAGTATATGTTTTAAGATTATTTTTTACTGTAGATATATTTTTTCCTACAAATGTAAATGATTTTAGGAAATTTTAAAAACATATGAAATTTCACCTCAAGGCAAAAACAGCGAACTATGGAATAGTTTACCAGTAACTATGAAACAGATTATTACCCCTTTTTTAACTTCGCATTATAAAATTGCAACTATTAGCGATGACAAAACTTTTTCCCATCCTATTTATGGGTAAATATTTAATTTAGAAAAAGTAAATATTGTATTATCATTCATTATGTTCAACTAATCTATTTTTCAAACAGCTCTGAAGCTGGTTCTTCTGTAGAAAATTGGGCTTATAATTGGCTTTGCAATATGTTTAGTAATATTCGCGATGAAACTCTTAATAATGTATTACGTGCATGTAAATTAGCACTTAAGCGTGATATAAAAATATTAACATTTTGTTTACCCCATGTTGTTGGTAAGTATTTTTCTTAATATAATTTCAATAATGTCAATAACTGTAATTTAAATATATATTATTTTTTATTTATTAGCGTATATAATAACAAATAGCTCTGAACAAGAGCATGCAAAAATACAAGAAGAAATATTAACAATTATCGATGTCAGAAAAAATCCCACACTTGATCATGAGTTATCACGACATAGACCTCTTAGACACGGGGATAGTATAAAAGCAGATGATACTAGAATTTCTGAAGAAACTAGACGTACACGTTGTGCACAGGTATGTAAATAAAAAATAACATCTTTATTGTTCAATTAAAAATCTTTTTCATCATTTTCGAATAGATCGTATTTTCAATATTAGATCATTTACAAACGTGGCTTTGGGAACAACGATTGACACGTAATCATAAGTATGAAGCTTTAAAGAGTGAGTCCTTTATATTCAAATATTTGATGATGAAATACTATAATCATTAATGAATATGTATAACCGTGAATTTAGATTTTTGTGAATCATTGAATGCATTAGTAATAGCCGAAGGATGTTATCAATTTCGAGAATATCATAGAGCATTAATGTATCTAGAACAACACATGGCTTCTTCTAATAAAGGATTATCAGAAGCATTGGAGGGTGAATTACTTGCTGTAAGTTCTACATGAATATAAGATTAAAAATAATCCATTTATTAGCTTTATCTTTTTTTTTTTTATCTATATGTAGAAAATATATGCGCAATTAGATGAACCAGATGGTATATCTGGTATATTAGCTACTCAAGATCATACTCCTACAGTTCAACAATTAGTTTTAGCTCATGAAGTCAATGGGCAGCTTCAGGTATAATGAAATTTATTTATTTAAATATCGATTTATATTTATATATTTGAAATTGATATTTATAAAATGTACAGGATGCTGCTACTTGTTATGAGAGATTGGCACAAAAGAAGACTTTAAAGCACACGTATTTGCAAGGAATGATTCAGTGTTATCTCGGTCTTGATCAACCTTTTACAGCAAAACATATCACTGAAGGGGTTTTAAATAACAGACCAGAGTTAGAACCATTAATGATTGAACATGAACCATTTTGGAGATTGGCTCATTTCATTAGATTTGATGATACTTCTCAAAAAAATATAAAACATATACTACTTGAAGATCTTAAGAAGGGTATCAAACCAGATTTATCATCTTTGAAAAAAAATTTAGTATTACTATTAGAAGATGCTTCGCGTCCAGGAGCTTATCAACAGAGCTATTCTTACATTATGAAGTAAGATTAATATTTAAAATTATATTTTATACTAAAAAATGATACTTATATTTTATTATGATGAATAGGCTACATATATTAAATGAATTTGATAAAGCAGTTAGTACTATGCTAACTGATATAGAAAAGTTACCGATGATATTTGAAGAATGGGAAAAACGTTGTCAACTTGTTCGCGCTTCACGAGGAGTAGAATTTGTATTAAGTATGCGTAGAGCTACATTAGATTTAGCACTTCAATTACAGAGAGAAATTGAAAATAAAGAAAATTCTGTATTAAAACAAGAAATTGGTAAGATTTGGCTTAAAAGTGCGAAGATTGCGAGAAAGTAAGTGTTTATTTCATTATCTTGGCATTCATTATTTTCGGCACTTAAGTTACGGTTCTTTCTTTTAGGAGTAGATTACATCAACAAGCATACATGTATATTTTGTCTGCTAGTGATTCTTGTCCTCTACAACAACTTTATATAGAACAAGCTCAATTATATTGGCAAAAAGGCTGCCAAGAAGATGCTTTTATAACTTTAAAACGTTGTTTTTCTAGTTGTTTTCAGCCAGCTATGTACTACAAGACTTTGCCAGTAGAAGAATGTTTAGAAGAAAGGAAACAATGTGCAAAGGTTTGCTTGTACGAAAAAAGTACAGTATTTATCAGAAATCAATATTATCAATATTTATTTATTGTAGGCAAAACTTCTATATGCAAAATATAATGATGAAACAGTTAATGTGGATACTGATGCTAACATTATAAATTACAAAGAAGCTATTGAAGTTTGGAGAGAATGGGAAAAAAGTTTATTGTTTTGTGCACAATACTACGAATCTGTCATAGATAGAATGACGGATGAAGAGAAAGATTCAAGAGGACGGTAAGTATGAAACAAGTAGTATTTCTAATGGTTAAGGTAATTGACAATATGTTTAGGGACTTACAAGTGCATACCATGAATTATTATGGAAAATCACTTCAATATGGTTGTAAATACATTCATCAATCCATGCCAAGAATGTTAACTATTTGGTTGGATTTTGCTTCGCGCACAATATCACGATCCACTAATCGTAATGATCGGGAACAAGACAAATTTCGACGGGACGCATTATTAAAAATGTCGAAAATTATGGGTAAATACAATAATTTTTTACTGAGTTAGAATGGAACAAATAATAATTCCTATTCGACGATATAGAAGTGTATCAGGAAAGACTACCAATATTCATGTGGCTAACTGCATTTAGCCAACTTGTGTCGAGAATATGTCATCCTTCTATCGAGGTACAAAAGACTATCCGCACTATATTAGTAAAACTAATTCATGCGTATCCTCAACATAGTTTATGGATGATGGCATCAGTTATTAATGTAAGTTTTTTTAACTATTAATAATCGAAGAAAATTTTAATAAAGGATTCTTTCTTTCTCAGTCTTCATATCCTGCACGTCAGAAACGTTGCCAAGAAATACTCAATCACAGCAAACTTAAAACACCAGAAATGATTAAACTTATTACAGATTTTCATAAATTATGGGAGCGATTGATTGAATTATCAAACAAAGCAATACCAGAAGTAAGTTAAAATATTAATTCATATAAACTTTTTTACATAAATTAATAATTTTTTATGATTTTTACGATATAAACTTTTTTACATAAATTAATAATTTTTTAACAGGGCATTATGAATACTACTGTAACTCTCTTGTCACGAAATCTTCCCCGTTTACTTTCAAGTAAGGAATTTAGTACAATAATGATACCAACAACCAAATTTAGACAACTGCATCTGCCGTCGAAGGGCATGCCGCTAGAAAATTATAATGCATTTTCTACGTATGTATATCATTTTTTTCTATACCTTTTATTTTAAAAAAATATGTAAACTTTTGTATATTTTAGTAATTGGATTCATATATCCGGAATAGAAGATAATGTAGCTGTTATGCCATCTCTTCAAAGACCACGGCGTATTACGTTAAGAGGATCGGATGGTAAAGAATATTTATTTATGTGTAAGCCAAAAGATGACTTACGAAGAGACTTTAGGTTAATGGAATTTAACGATATTGTAAATAAATATCTTCAGAATGATCCAGAATCTCGACAAAGAAGATTGTATATTCGAACATACGTAAGTATACAAAAATTTTAGAAATACTGTTATATTTTGCAATATGAACTTAAATTTAAATTACAGAGTGTTGTACCCCTTAATGAAGAATGCGGTTTAGTAGAATGGGTACCGAATTTAGTTGGGTTTAGACCAATTATAATAAGCTTATATAAAGAGAGAGGTATTGCAATTTCAAATAGAGAGCTTAGAAGTTTATTATGCTGTAAGTAAAAATGCTATATCGTAATATAAATTGTTAATAAATACAAAAATTCTTACTTGTGCGTTTCATTGCAGCATTAAAAGATCCATTAGAGAAGAAGAAGAAAGTATTTCTAGAACTACTTCTTCCACGTCATCCGCCAGTACTCGGAGATTGGTTTCGTCTTACATTCCCTGATCCATATGGATGGTATGTTTCATAATTATTTCTGTAAATAAAGTAAACATTTATTTAAATATAGGCACGTAAATGTAATAAACATGTAAAATAGGTATGAAGCACGTACTGCCTATATTAGAACTACAGCAGTAATGTCTATGGTAGGATACATTCTTGGTCTTGGAGATCGTCATGGAGAAAATATATTATTTGATTCTAAATGTGGAGATTGTGTACATGTAGATTTTAATTGTTTATTTAATAGGGTATGTAAAACATTTATCCATAAATTAAAATTACAATACAATTTTATTTTGTCATCCAGTAAAACAAAACACGGCTAAACGATATATATACAATAAGTATTTTGTAATAATTAATTAATAGGGAGAATTGTTAGAGTGGCCAGAACGTGTGCCATTTCGTTTAACGCATAATATGATAGATGCTATGGGACCATTAAAAATTGAGGGACCGTTTAGGCGTGCTTGTGAAATAACTATGAGGGTTCTTCGACAACAAAGTAGCACGTTATTAAGTGTATTAACACCATTCGTATATGATCCACTTGTAAGCTGGAATAAAAATCACATTAGTGAAGGTGGTGAGAAAACAAATGAAAAAGTAAGTTATAGGAATAATATAATGAATTAATAATGTAATAAGTTTTTGATATAAATAGAACATAAAATACAAAGTCGAATATTTTAGGCTGTGGAGCATATAAAAAATATAGAACAGCGACTCAAAGGTTTAATTCGATATCATGGAAAGAAATTAGAAAATATTGCTTTAAATCTTAGTGTTGAAGGACAAACTAATCAATTAATTCTGGAAGCAACAAATGTAGATAATCTTTGTCAAATGTATTTTGGATGGGGCGCATATATGTAAAGAATGTTACAATTTATTAAGTATTTAATAATTTAATATTTATATATTTGTAAATTAAAACTATACAAACCGATTCGTAGGCTCTAAGATTCTGAATTGAAACTCTGAAGCATCATGAAATATGAGAATGCAGTACTGAGAATCTATAAATATCAAATAATTATTATTAGTTACAGTAATATTATGCTAACAAAAATTTTTTAGACAAATATATGATAAAATTTTCACCGTTGTAAAATTTTCCAAATGCATTATGTATAATTTTCCTGCTGTAATATAACTAGGTCTTTGAGAACGTAAAATAATCATACATATTTCATCTTTAACAAAACTTGGTAATTGAAACCACTGTATAGCATATGCAGCTGTGCTTATACTGAGACTCTTTTTTTGCAATAAGAATTAATTTAAAATTAGTACATCTTTTTTTATAAATATATAATTATATAATATCATTTACCTGTTGCATTAACATGTCTCCAGGAAAACAAAAAAGTAATAATTGAAAAAGTGCCACGATTAAGTGAGAAGCAAATTTAATCATTTTCGATTGTTCCATTAATGTCTGTAATGCAAAAATACGTATTAAACAATTTTTCATACTTATAGTTTTTTTTATAAATTCAATATGCGTACAGCAGAAACCTGGAATCCAACGAAACAAATTAGAAGACTACTGGTCATTGCTTGCAAAAAGAGCATTAGATGGAAATTTTTTTCCATATTGTCGCAAAACCTGAATTATATTAAAGAAAATAAGAAATAATAATATTTCTTGAAATACATTAAATTTATTTACCAAAGAACTACTTGATGATGTTTAATTATATGTATCATTTGACTTTTTATTTCATATAAATTTGCACTTATATGTTTTGAATTAGGTTTCAGGTCAATTATCTGAAACAATAAAATTATCTTAAAATGAATTATATACATAAAATACAATTATTATATAAAATACAATACAGATGCGATCAATGTATGAGAATCAAGTTACTTTAAATTTATACATATAGAATACAATACATACACGATCAATGTATGAATCAAGTTGTTTTAAATTTTTTCTAAGTACCGCAAAATGCCCGCATGTATGAAGTAGTGCAGTTGCAATTAAACCATCAGTTGCAAGAATAACCAAACAACAAATACTTGTTGCCAATATTTGAGATACATATACGATCTATATATGTATATATTTATGTTTATAAATTAATTACAATTAAATCATATTTGTAACAGAAATGAAATGAAATGAAATGGTACCTGATAGAAGGGGAATTTATAAAAAGCTATAGGATATAATGCAACAAACGGAAAGTTCTTCATAGTCAAATTATCTGAATCTTCATGTTTTATAATTAATATTTCAATAATAGGTAAACTAAAGAAAAATAATAAAGCATTACACATTGAAATAAAATATCCTTTAGTAATGGTCTTAGCATATCTGAAAGAATATATTATATTATTTATATGAAAAAAGATAATTATAATTTTTAATATTATATAGTAACTACTTACATTGCATATTCTTTTAAGTATTCAAAAACATTGTCTTCAATTATTCTCCAATAATCTGTTAGCATAAATTCAATGAAAATTTCCAAATTTTTCCTATTAAACATCCAAATTACTGATTTTAATGTAGCAAGCGAAATTGTCAGTAAAGTTGAGCTACAAAAGATTAAAAAAAGAACTAATAAATGTGTTTTTATTCACATGGAATTTCAATCACTTCACTTTTAAAAATATTCAAACCCTGTTTCCATAACAATGTTTAGATCATTCCAATGTATATAAATGTTTATTATTTGTGGTATGATAATAAGCATAACGCAACTAATGCATATGACGTATCTTATAATATTTATTGGATAAAGTCCAACAAATTTTAGAACTAGTTGATTTATGAAGACATAATTTCTAATATTCATTGTATTTGAGTGATTAGATATTTGCTTTATAACAATAAATACACGTGATTAAAAACTGTTTCCACTTAGATTGAAACTATATTTTGACTTGGATTTTATCCATATATAGAGCTCATCCTATTGTTTTATACAGCAAAATATTATAAGTTTAATGTATTTAATTATTTTCTTAAATTACTAAGAGTATAATGACACATTTGCTTTGTAAAACATTTCATACTAAAACGTATAAAAGAAAGTATATAGTCATACACGAACGGTCATTTTCATGAGTCTAATCATTATAAATTTAATGCGTTTAATTGTTGCCCTAAATTATTAAGAACATAATGATATATTTGCTTTGTAGAGTACTTTATACTAAAACGTATAGATGAAAGTATATAGTCATACATGAACAATCATTTAATGAGTCTAGTCTCTCAGTCCCTTTTGAAGTTATACCCTTCATCATATATTATTTGCATAACTTTACCGTAGAATATTATAGAGTATGATGACAAGGAAGTGGAACTTTAAAAGGAAAGCTATATTTTACTGTAGTATTTTATGAGAGTGATTCTTCCTAGAATTTGATAGAACATTCATTTGAAGGGGAAACATATGAAGGGACAATAATAATTTGAAGATTTCAAAGACACAGTCTTTTACTGTAAGTTTTTATAAAATCTCAGTACAATTCTTTATACATCATTTCCTGTAAAATTTTATTGCGTTTGTGTGGTGCATTAATAATAAATAGAACTTCCACACTTGACTGTATATTTTACAAGTCGTTATTTAATATTAGATATAAGCAAAATATACCTATTCACGTCTTAATTCAATATGTAGAACACATTTGAATGAATATCATAAAGAAAGTCAAATTTGCAAATCGGACTTAATATTTTCAGATGTAACATTTTATAATTATTTACTTAAGAAATTTATCCAAAAAATATTTATACAAGTAATGACAATATTATTATGAAAGGACAAATGAAAAAAATCAGTTTTATTTAAGGACATTTTCGTTCTACTTGACTTTTACCGCTTTCTTCGTATTCTTGACTTGATATCCACATTTGTTGAAAAGTTCCAATTGAAGCCAAAATTGATCCACCGATCCAAGCTCCGAATCGTCGTTCAGCACATCCATTTACACTAATTAGTTTCAACCTCATACTAGATGGAATTCTCATGGAAAGATCTCGGTTTAAACGTTCCGGAAATCCCTAAATATAATATATCAAAAAATTGCGAAAAATTGTTCATATGAAATTAACAATTTTTTATCGATATATACCTGAATGAATGAATTGCCACCAGTCACGACAACACTACCATAAAGCGCTGGCCTTACATCAACATCACACATGCCTACACTAGTTGTAACAATATGACCTACTCCTAACATAGTATTGCCGACCATACCACCACGCATTTGAACCATGCTGGGATCAAAAAGTGCTTCTGGTATGCGAAATCTTTCACTTCCAAAATCCTTGAAATTTTATTATATTGTAATGTATATGTAATTAATTTTTAAACAAATACATGTTACAAATACACATTTAAACAAATATTTGATTGTTACCTGATGATATCCAGTAGGAAATTCGTATTGAACTGCAGGAATTGTGGAAACAATTTTTTCATCATATGGAGTTTCTGACACTTGCAACACTGTTGCTTGGAAATCCTGAATAAGTTTCTTTACCATATAATTATGCCAAGACTTAGTAACTTCAGGTAGCCCCTTCTTTTTTATCCATCTTGGTTTTTCATGATCTTTAACAACTTCTTTGCTGCCCACCATGTAAGAAGGGGACAAGTCAATGTCATTCTCCTATTATTATTTTGAAAATATAGTTATCCATCTTCTATACTATTATAAAAAAATATTTATAATTATATATGTACCTGAAGAAATTGTCTACACTGCATACTTATATAATCTCCACCAAGTGGTGATTTAACTATTGCCTGTGTTAATACAAAACCATCTTGAACTGGCACAGCAGAAGTGTGTGTTGCTCCACTATCAACTACAATACCAGTTGCTCTGCCATTTGCAAAAGCAGCAAGAACTGCATTTTTGACGAGAAAGTAGGCTGGTACATTGTATTTTTCAAACATTAATTCAGTTAGTTTTTCTCTTTTACTACGTACATTCCACGGAGATTCAGAAAACAGTACTGGATGATATTCTGCATCTGACTGAATTACTTTGGAATAAGTATAATCTAAAACCTATTAAAACAAATGTATCTACATTTTATATATACAAAAACAATATTTATTTTAAAATTTTATATTACCTTCTCAAAATGATCCCAATCTTCGATCATTCCATCTTTCATATAACTTACTACTTCCATATTTTTTCTTGGAACATGAAGTATAGTAGTATCAATATAATACTTGGTCCCAGATTGCGTAATGTTGTTGTCTGGTTTCTTATCATCAATGTCCATTGGTTCTGCTTTCATTGCCGTGCAATTGCCATCTTCTCCTATACCTATAACTGCTGGAATTTCAGCTTTTGGAGTGTCCTCTTGAGCATAACCAACTCTTAGAGAATGATGACCCAAGTCAAATACTAAGGCTCCAATTTCATCTCCCCCATAAAGCATACCACCTGACATCTTGCTGATTTTAAAATATATCTACCACAAAAATGAAATTATTTCAATTTAAAAAATCTCGCTTAATGGTATTTAAACTTAAATCAATAAGAATGCCTACATTACAAAACGAAGTTTTTCATCAAAACAAAATAAATTGTAAATTCACTATAGACAAATCGGAGCGGTAATAAATAGTAATAAATTCATAAATTACAAATATATGAATTAAAAAAGACTTGAATCTTAAAACTCACCGCAACTTTTTTATAAAAATAACTCAATGAGATGACAAAAATATATGCGTTTGACGACTACATGAACGTTTATGTTGTATTTATGTATTTATTTTAAATACAACAAACATAACCTCAACTTAGAAGGACGCTTGGTACCGCCACCACGGACATGCTCGTCTCTAGGCAAGCACAATTGAATTTTATATATATTCTCAGATCTTCTCACACATATATAGTACGAATTAAATTGATGTATATTAATGATTTATTAAAAAAAACTTGTAAAATCACAAGGTAATATTATTTTTGTAACATAATTATATATAAAACAAGTATCTACAATATTCTTCCTATTATTTAGTAATTCATTCGCGTCACATCACAAGCAAGGAATTATAACTTATAAATGAAATATATAGCATTTAACAATGGTGAGTATTTCAAAAAAACTCCAATTACATTTTAAACTACTTCTAGGGTCAACAAACAAATTTTCAATCTTCGGAAATAATGAAAATCATAACTGGCTGGTGAAGGATTGTTTAAACTTTAAACCACCTGTTAATTCCGTAAGAGTCTCGATGATGCCGCTGTAGTCGCAAGATGCCCACGAAATGGCGGCGCTAGTCAGAACGTCGGTAGACTCGAGACAATGAGGATGTGTGTAGTCGTCTTTTAGACATGTTCTACCGTTTGTTTCGCGACAGTGTTGTGAAGAAATGAGGTTTCTGGATGCGAGACTCAATCTGTCGTTTAATGCGCGACGGTGAGTCGAAGGAATTGGCATGTGTTCGCTCAACAGGACATTGTATGCTCGTCCGGCAATCGTGTGAAGAAATTACGGTGGGTTATTGTACGCGTCGGAGTCTGTGACACCCGCTGGCCCAATGGAGCCGCGTATTCTTGCAGTCCTCTTGGCTTTGTTGACATTCGTCGTATCGGGTAAGTCTACCTCATTCTTGTATCCAAAGCTTATTAGTTCACGTTATTTTCATCTGAAACAACGTATTTGTCGTTGAGTCGAGATATTTCGTTATTAGAAAATGATTTAAATCACTGGTACACTCACGCTATAAAAGGGATAATGCAGTTGTCTATAAAGGATAAGATCGTTGTACTGATGGACGCACATATTCTCACTCGTTTCTACAGTGTAAAGTGATTTTGTTACATGCTATCTGGTGTTTTATCGATAGGTATAGAAACGAGGAAACATCGTTGCGTATCGTTTTACAGTTACTGGTGTTTGCATCCCGCCTCGTCTAGTAGTAAGCAAATATTTACGAAAGCATTCTGCGATTTTCTGTTTGCTAATCTCTTAGTGCTAGAGATTACATCTCGGAAAATGCTTGAAACTTGTAACTCAGTAGCTCTTTATTATCAGGCTGCAAAGTATACTGATATAATTTTTTAGCATAATACTGCAACTTCTAGATGTTAATACACATCTAAAAGTAATCGTTGTAAATTAATAAAATTTATAAAATCACTGAATCTTACAAATCTATCTACGTATACACACATTATACACGCACGTAGAAAACGTAAATCTCAAAATGAAAATCATTTATGTTTATATATAACGTACTTTCGTAAAGTGTAATTATTATGTAAGCAGTTGTTTAATTAAATGATTTATCATTGCGCGAATTCGAACTAAATAAACTAGAGTTTAAAAAATCGGGCTTTGTATATATGACGACCAGATCGAATGTCTGAATGATATTATTGTATACATACGTATCGCATATAACAAATATTTCTAAGGATTGATAATTATTTTGTAAATATTGAAAAAAGATAAAGTTGAGAAACACTGTATTTCGGATAGTTATTATTGATGCAGAGAAGGATGTAGTATAAGGGGGTGATTCGGGGTGTATTTCCGATTGCAACGATCGAAGTCACATCCCTTGATAGCATTGTCGTAATAACGAGAACTGTTCCCCTGATAAAAGACAACAATGAATTGGAAAAGGTTTCAAGCTAGAAACCATTGTTTCTAGTGCATCGTATAGTACAGGCGAAAATAAAAGTCTTGAACTTCTGTATTACAGATTCATTGAAGTGGTTGGGAAGTATTTGCGTTTAAATACTTCAGTAAAGTATTCCAACAATGCGGCAAGCCTCTCCTTACGATTTTATCATGATGGAAAATGTATATCTGCTGAACATTCAGCGTCGCTATGTTAATCTATCAGCAGAGCTACCCACGCAAAAAATTAAACATCCTATTCTTCCTACCATCGTACCGTGACAAAACACCGCCAGAATTATCAGCCTCATTATTCTTTTTGTTTGCTTTTGATCATTACACACGTTCATCTAGTTAGATATAAAGATCCATTTCCGGCTCGTCATGGTGAAGAAGTATACAAACATTGAAAGGGGTCTTAAAAGGGTGCGTTCCTCAAATAAACCAGTTAACTTTGTACGAGATACGATTATACTGGCGTGCAATAAACTGCAGAACAATTATGGATCCACGCACAGAGAAGTTTATTAACATTCTGAACTCTCGTGTTCGAGTTCGACGAACTGGAACTCTGTATTAATTGATGCAGTGAAAAAAAGAATTAGAGATCTTTCCTCATGCTGTCTCATTTTCCTCCTTACAATATACAGGTATAACGACTTGTTTATGATGTATGTATGTCTCTCTCGGTGTATGAAGATCCACTTTAACGCTGGTAGCCCAAATACGGAACGGATCGTACAACATACACGCGTCTAAATGTGTTCCATGTGTATAAAGTGGTATTTACAAACGTGTGTACTCGGCGACTGATGTCGTAACAACACCTTAATGGTCAGCGCCCACGCGATGTGTATGCGTGCATATTGATATACAGGGTGATTTACCTCAGAAATTTTCTTTCACGTCTTACTAAAGAATTCTGAATTAATTTTACTCGATTGCTTTGCTCCGATTGTTCGTTAAAAAGGAGTAACATTTGGCTCGAAAATGTGACGCGTTAGTAATTCTGTTATCGCCATACTTGGAATATATGCACGTGAGCGTTATCCTTTCAAGGTACTAGTACGTCGCTTCCTTGATTCTCATCCCCCTTTGATGTTAACAGCACCTTGAACGGAAGTAACAGTCACGGTACGAAGAAGATACAAGAGAGTAAGATCGAAGAAGCCCGGTTCAAGGAATTAACGTGTCGATCGCAAAAATCAATCCTAGATTTCCTTGGTTTATCCATACGTCACCCTACAACTCCGACCTTGCGATTAATTGATTTCTCCGCAGGGGGCTCGCAATATCTTCCCTTCCATCATTTTCGATTTATCAGCATTTATGAGACACTGTGTAGATTTGTCGTAACGCAATGTGTATATGTACCTTGCCTTCCTTCACGGTCTGTTCGTCACATGTCGAGTACTTTTACCGCGTTTTTCAACATTCTCCCTCCTTCCCTTGCTAACTTCCACAGACGAACTCGCTCCGCAAATTAATCTCCGTTGTGAAAAAAATTCTAGGAGATTTATTGACGCGCGGAAATTCGTGCGAGGTGACGAATGCGTCCAAGCATTTGTGAGCTGAAAAAATAAGATTAAATTATTTCTCTCACCAGGTAGTTCGGTTAAAATATACAGCATGATTATAGATATGAAGAGAAAGTAACAACATTATCGAATAGTTCAGTATCACAGTTGCGATAATTGTTCTATGAAATTCGATAAAATGGTTCATGATGCGAAATGATCGTTACATCGACCGTGTGAACCTTATCTTCAGGAATTATCCGATACATTTAACTGGTCCGAGATAACGACATCGAGACTTGTAAGTTTGTATATGATATTCTCATTTTTCTTTTCTCTTTCTCTCTCTCTCTCTCGGTTTTTCTTTCGCTCCCGTTATGCTACTAAACAAGATGTATAAACTGATGCCTGATAAACGCCCCATAGAAAATAAGGTGCACTGGTTGTTCCTGCAACAGATTTACCTCGCTCATGCACTGGCAATGGTTTTCCTCTTGATTCTTGATCTATTTCGGTATGCCGTGCGGTAGGTTGTCGCCCGCGCTCATAAATCAAATAGTCAGACGGCGAACGGTTTATTTTCCTTGAGAATGCACCGTCGTGGCGCTATCGGGCGCCAAATTTTGCACGTTCTTTCCTTTCTCCTCTGTCTGTTTTTCTTTTCCCTTTTGCAGCATCCGCTTTTACACTTTCGCGTAATTAATGAAATCAATTCTGAAATGTGAAAATATCAAAAGCTCAAAACAACTGCAGGCACTGATCCGATCTTTTTTTTTTTTGACTATATTAAGTTAATTGTATTAGTAATGGCGGTTAAAATTTGAATTATTGTTAGAAATATGGTATTAAAGATATATGTATATATATGTATACACGATATTAAAGAAATGAAGATTAGAATTTATGCAAAGGAAAAGAATATCTATCCATGGCTGAAGACGTGTTTGTTTCTTCGCGAAGGTTGCACGGAAAGGTGACAGACCACCGTGAGCGTGGAACTGTAACCCAATAACCGTAGACAGTGTTTCTCAATTTTATGGAAGTATTGATTGAATTAGTTGACGTTGATTGACGTTGATAGTCATCATTTTGCAATTATATCTTATTTTTATTTACAATTAGCTGTATATTTCTACGTTATCAATGTTTCACATATTACACGGACCTGCGTATACTAGATATGTACTATTAACCAAGGATTATACTTATAACCTAAATTTAAAAAATTCTTTTAATTAACTAGTAGCAACTATTATCGATGTCAAAAAATTTTTTATTTATTTTTAATTTATTAAAACTATTATTTTTTATCTTTGTTATTAATTATCGTTGCTGTAATTTCACGGAAATCTCCATAAATAGTGAGAAGAATTCGAAGATGAAATTTTCCTTTCCCTGAGGTTATTGATAATTGACTTAATTATGAAAAAAACGGTATATTAAATAAAATTTCAACAATCTGTTTTTCTAACTTTTTCATTCAAGTTTTTCAGTATTTTTACAACGGTTTTTCACAGATAAGAAAGTTCAGTGTTCGGAGATGAGGTGTCTGTACCGGAAGATCATTGGTCGGAGAAAATTTTCGCAATTATCTGCATATAATGCGGTTCTTTTTAAGAAGAGATTCTTAAGAATTTCTCGAGAAAAACTCTAACGAGCTGGCTAGAATTTCTTCGGCCGATCTTTAAGGTCTGTTGCGTGAATGTGGATAAAGAAACAAAACCGTTTAATACGAAATATGTCCATTGTTTAATAATATCTTCAAGAATTTAAATTTCGCGATAAACCACTAACGAGCTTACACGTTCCTGACTTCGAAGATGGGTTATAAAGCAAACAATGAGATTCTTTAGAAATTTTTTTGTTCGTTGCTGCTTGTTCCGTAAAAAGAAATAATTTGCGAGCATATCGATTGCTTGGAATTAAACAATAGGGTCTAGCATTCACTGGAAATCATTCGCATCGCGTCTCATAAAATAGTTCCGCCAGGTTTTTCTTATTTCTTTCTCCCGACAAAGAATTATTCAGAAAAGATGTTGAATCGTCCTGCGCCATGGTTGTATACGTGGTATCGGGCGATCGCAAAGCCCCATAAAAGAAAGAAAAGAAAGGAAAGGAAAGAGAATTTAGGCACTCGGCTCGGGTGTCTCGTTAAAAGGCTAAAGGGTGTCTACGTAGGGTTGCCGACCCTTTGCCCAACTCTTCTCTTCAATTACTTTACAACACATTCGTATCTCCCCTCTTATAATCTAAACCTCTAATAATCTTTTCAACATCTACCATCATGATATTTAGTCACCCACGCACATGTAGGATAATTTACCAAATACAATTGAGACTGATCACAGTATAACTATAATGTTATTTGGTAATGTAGATGCTTTGAGTTGAGTTTTTCACAGGTATACTTTAGGTATAATTTAGGAAAAATATATCAATTTGTATCTGTAATTTTATTTGATAGAAAGTAATCGTCATGATATGCAGTCATCCATATATCTGAATTAATTGATCAAATACTATTGAAACTTGATAATGAGAATTACAAAATTATACCTTTCTTTGACAGCTAATGCAGGTGGATTGTATTTTACTATTGAGCCACAAGATGTGGTGGTTGAACAGGGAGGTCCTGCTAGATTAGACTGTGAAGCAAAAAGTGATTTTGGAAAACCCAGTATACAGTGGAGAACCGATGATGGACAACCAATTACTTTTATTGGGGATAGTTACCGGTAAGGATATTGAGATTTAAAACGATATTAGCTTCTTCTTGGAAAGAGGTTTTTTACTTTTGTTATTTCTTTTTCTTATATTTCTAGATCTCAATTAGTTAATGGATCTTTGTACATAAATGCTGTTTATGGCAGTAGTTTGGAATTGACTGGAAGCTATCAGTGTTTAGCTTCTGTAGATGATGTTGGAGCAATTGTTTCTCAAACTGCCACAATTAAAATTGCAAGTTAGTATTTAGATCCAATAGAAGTTTTTAAAATTGTTTTGAGTTAATATTGTATAAAAATTGTTTTAAAGGTTTGCCAGGATTTGATAGGGAACCTCAAGATACTATGGTTTATCCAGGACAAATTGCATATTTAAGTTGTACACTTCTTACATCTTCTAATTCACTAAATATACAATGGCTAAAAGATGAACATCCATTGCTGCTTGATGACAGTCGAATGACAATTTTGCCATCAGGTGCATTAGAAATTGATGATGTTAAGATACAAGATGTTGGATCATACAGGTGTAATGCTAGTAGTTATGGACAATTTAGACTCAGTAATAAAGCACAATTAGGATTGTTAACAAGTGATATCGGTTAGTATAAATCTTTACATATGATTTTTATATACTAGCAGACATTAATCTTTATCTGATATTATAGACCAAGAAAGTACACCACCAGTCTTTATTGCTAAGCCATTACAACAAGTGACTATTGAAGGATCAACAGTCACGCTTGAATGTGCTGCCAATGGTTATCCAAAGCCAAGTATACTTTGGTTAAAAGATGGTGTTGCTATTGATTTAGCATCTTATCAATCTAGGTATGTAGTCAAAATACACGTAAAAAAGTTAGATGTTTAATTTTTTTTTTTTAATTATTTAGATACAGCAGAGTTGCTGCATCCAGTCTTGTGATCCACAATGTTCAAGAAATAGATGATGGTTCTTATCAATGCCGCGCAGAAAATGAAGTTGAGACATTAGATGCAGCTGCTGATTTAATTGTACAAGGTATTTTAGTTTTACTATTGGTATTTTCGTTCGTTCATTTTATTTTACACTATTTAATGGTGTAATCATTTGTTTAGTTCCACCAAGATTTATTAAAAAACCAGAAAACAAGATAGCTAGTGAAAATCAAGATTTAGAATTTGAATGTGAAATTTATGGAAAACCAGAACCAAAAATTACATGGCTCAAAAACGGGGAACGTATTACCTTGAGCGAATATTGGCAAATTAATGGGTAAGTCTAAAAGATTGATTGATAATGATGTAAAATAATTTATGAAAATATAATAAATAAACATTTTTTATGGTATTATTTTCAGTTATAATCTTAGAATTAATGGCTTATTACCGATAGACGCTGGAATCTTCCAATGTATAGGAACGAATTCCGCTGGAAGTATACAAGCTGCAGCGCGTTTAACAATTAATCAGCCTAGTGAGTGCTACAATTAAAACTATCTGCATTAAATTTTTTATATGTAGATTTCTTAATCTTTCAGTAGCAAAATTTATTCTTTGCGTTTATTTAATATACTATTTATTAATTTGTAAATTTTTTATTTATTAATTTAAAAGTATAACATACATTATTTTTAATTTCTATTTTTTTTTATAATCATTTTAATTTAATGTTTATTTTTTCCATTTGCGTTTCCTCCTTTTTTAACTGTATTGCATGCTAACATATATATTCAGAAAAGACAAATCCTCATAAATCAACTACCCCAAAGACAGTTCCTAAAAAGAAGTTATTATTGCATCGGCAATTATATAATAAAACGTGGCAGCACCCAAGCACCCTTTTAGGTCACACAATGTCTGCTTTTACGCCCAATCCACCACTTTCCATTGGTCCGTCTGATGATCCTGCAGATCTTCCTGGATCTGTTAGATTTCCTAATTCCCTTTACGACCCAAAATCCCATTTTGTAGATGACACAGACAGCTTGGAGTCAATAGAAGGAAGTGTTCCGTCAGCACCGAGGAATTTAAGTCTCGTCATTGTCACTGCTAGATTTGTAACTTTACGATGGCAAGAACCCGAGAATACAAATGGAGAGATTCTAAATTATTATATTTATTATAAACAAGAAGGTGTTCAAAGGTGACGATTAGTTACTTGATAAATGCGCTCATGAATCGTGCTCAATCGCATTTTGTATACATACAATGGTAAAATTTTACAGAGAACGAGTTATTCATACACAACAAAAATTAGAGGCAGTAATACGAGGTTTACAACCAAGTATGACGTATCAATTTCGTGTGGTCGCCTTAAATGAAAGGGGGATGTCTGGAAAGTCTAGTGAAATGTTGCAAGTTACCACACTTACTGAGGTCCGTTTGTAATTGCAAACATGTCCAATAATTAATTAAACAAATTATTTCATGATCAAAGTATTGTAAATATATTATTGCAATAGGCCAATGTCCCTGGATCTCCATTGAATTTAGAGGGACATGCTACAAGCAGTGCAAGCATTGCGTTATCTTGGGAAAAACCACAAGTAGTTAATGGCAGAATTTCTAAATACATAATTACATATGTGGAGGTATATCATTTTTAATAAAAGATGTTAATTTATTTAATGTACTTTGAATGTAAAATTTGGAATATTTTATTTAAAGGGTGACAATGAGGAAATGACTAGTGAAACTACTAGTACGATGCACGAATTAGTAGATCTCGTGCCTTATACAGAATATAGTATTAAAGTTCAAGCTGTAAACGAGAACGGTCCTGGTGTGTTCAGTAGAGATATTGTAGTCCGGACTTATAGTGCACAACCTACTCAACCACCACACAATGTTACAGTAGAACCAGTTAGTCCTACAGTACGTATTATATATAGAATTCCGTAGTCTGAAACATTGAAAAATTTTTTAATATCATTGCATAATTTTATTTGGTGGTTTTGTTTGTAGAGTATTATAATAAGATGGGAACCGCCACTCGAAGGACAAAATGGAATTATTACTGGTTACAAAATTCGTTATCGTCGTTATGATCGTAGTTCGCAGCCGGTAACTATAACAACTGAAGGAAATCAACGTTCACGAGTACTCACAGGACTTGAAAAGCACGTTATTTATCAAGTTCGCATATGTGCCTTAAACGTTAATGGAACAGGGCCTAGTTCAGAATGGATACAAATAGAAACATATGAAACAGAATCTGATGAAAACCGAGTGCCAAATACACCCAGCAACTTAAGGAGTTAGTTAATTTTTAAACATCCTTAAATTTCTGTGAGTTTACAGATATTAAATATATTTTTTGTTTATATATTCACAGCAAAAGTGATGTCGGACTACATACAAGTATTTTGGAATCCCCCGAAAGATCAAAGTATTAAAGTGAAAGGATATAAACTTGGATGGGGAAAGGGCATCCCCGATGTTGAAGTTCGACTTCTTGATGGAAAAGAACGATCTTTTACTATAGATCAATTGGGTGAATATTCAAATTTGTAGTTTGATAAAGTTATAAGCGTATTAGACATGTTATTTTGCCTTTCTTTTTTATTTAGAACCAATCACTGAGTACGTTATATCTCTAAGAGCAACAAATGATGCTGGTGATGGTCAGCCAGCATATGCAAATGTAAGAACTACGGAACGTTCTGTGTCTGAATTTTCTGTGCCTTTGTTACCGCCTGTTGGTCTTAAAGCTGCTGTACTTTCTGATACGACAGTCGTATTATACTGGACTGACACAACTTTGCCAAAAACTCAAGTATGCAAGAGTGTTTATATTAATATACTGTATTAAATAAAAAAAATTTTATTATTTAAATAAAAAAAATAATAACATTACAGTTCGTAACGGATAATCGATATTATGTGGTGCGTTATACGTTACACCATCATAGCAGCAATCCTCGTTATAAGTACCATAATGCAACTGATCTCAACTGCATGATAAATGATTTGAAACCCAATACAATGTATGAATTTGCAGTCAAGCTTGTTAAGGTATTTATAATTTATTATTTCGGGAAGTATGTAATTATAAGGTGCTCTTTAAATAACTTAGTTATTATTTAGGGAAAACGAGAATCATTATGGAGTATGGTTGTTTCAAATCAAACTCAAGAAGCTGCACCTAGCTCTGCGCCTAGAGATTTGATGATTCAAAGTATCGAAGACCGTCCAACTTCAGTTTTAGTGCGTTGGCAACCTCCAAAACAACCAAATGGACCAATTACAGGTACTTATTAAATACTTTTAATAATAGTAAAAAATAAAATATAATGACATATATGCATACATTTATTCCAGGATATATTATTTTTTATTCGATTGATAATACAAAGTGGGATCGTGATTGGTTATTGGAAGCTGTAGTTGGAGATAAAACTGAATGTATCGTGAGAAATCTTCAACCAAGTACAACCTATTATTTCAAGATCCAAGCACGGAATTCAAAAGGATATGGCCCTTTTTCTACAACTGTTTCATTCAAGACGCCTCAAAGTAAGTGTTTAATTCTGATAAATGTATATGCATGTACTCGATAATTTTTTTAGTTTCGTATTGAAAATTTGTTTAGCATTACGTATATAGTGTCATTTATAGTTACTATTATATTTGTTTATCTCTACATATCGTGTATGTTATGTCGGTGTCTTGTACTATATTTTGTCATTTCTATGCTAGGCAGTGGCATGGATGTCTATGATGAATTGCATGATCGAGGTAAGATATTCTTCTTCCTTAGTTTTTTGTTTCTTAGCATAGCATGTACTTTAAAGGGTGAAATGAGTGATGAAATGATATGAATATTGCATTTAAAATGGATATAATTTACATTGTGATTGCATTATTATTGTCATTATTGTTACAATTACAAAACAACTGAATTAATTTACAGATGGACGTGGACTTTCAAATATATTAATATACATTATCGTGGGTTGTTCTATTGTTCTTATTACTGGCATAGCAGTAGTGGTTGTGGTTGTATGTTGCAAACGCAATCCGGATACACCTGACAGGAAAAAAGGGTACGTGCTATATTTACAATATTTGTCTTGCATAATATTTAGTTTTATAAAAATTACAATTGAAATACGTACAATACGAAATAGGTACATGAAAGACACAAGTCAGAAAACAAACATTAAGCCACCCGATTTGTGGATCCATCATGATCAAATGGAATTGAAAGCTCTCGAGAAATCTTCAATAAATGGAGAGGCATCTACTAGTGGTGTAGCTAGTAATACCTTACCTAGGTCGAATAACCAGGATTATAATCAAGATAATGTTCATGGAAATTCTAGTTCATTGGACAAACGTACTTACGTACCAAGTTATATGGGTAAGTTTTTGAAAATTTGTTAATAAAACACTTCATCATATCAGACACAATGCTCACAAAATTTCGTTCATTTAATTAAATTTTTAACTATATATTTCATTATTGTTGCAAATAAATTTGATGCCACTTTTTACATAATTAGACAAACAGTTTTAATACTTTTTCATTCATTATTAAAATTTTTGGTTAACATTATTTGAAAAGAAATTCTATTTTGTTTATTATTTTCTTGATTTTCGTTTTCGGTTTATGTTCACTCACTCAACACTAGGTAATACTGACGAGAAGTGCTCAACCCTGAGTAGACAACATAGTCGAGGAAGCCATAAACCTAAACTTATTACACTTCCCGTTGACAGTGCATCTTTACATCAACGTAAGTAATAGTAAAATTAAGCAAGACGGTTTGATCTTTTGTAACTTGTGTAATAACATTGATTTACATACAATAAATTAGAGAAATACAATTTCTTAAGCTGTGTGACAAAGTACTTAACTTGTTACAGCTATAGCGACGGCTACACCGATCGTAAATACAAGTATGTCGCAGCCAACGATTCATACATCATGCAATGATACGCCATCCGTGAGACAGAATTATCCTCGAACTGTAGCACAATACAGTTTAAGTCGAGCACATATTACTTTAGAACCAACGCCAGAATCGAGTCCAGATTCTTGCAATGTTTCAACTTCATATGAACCAATGCAAAGTCAAGTAAGATTTTTATTGATAATGTGCAATTGATAATAAATATTTAAATAAAGAATTCTGTTTGATATAAACTATTTGAATTTAAAGCAATTACCGTATGGTACCAGTGGTCCATCATATAGTGGAGGTAGTCAATATGCTTCGGGACACTACAACAATAATAATCAATCATCAAGTGCAACTGGTGGAGCTGATGGTGGTAGCGGTAGTAAAAGAATGCAGGGACATCCTTTGAAAAGCTTTAGTGTACCGGCACCTCCACCTCAGTCCGCACCTTCGACACCAGCTCAACAAAAACACGGTGGTGAGTTTCATCGTTTATTCTTTTTATTATGTATCTCGTTATATCAATAATTATGATGTTTCTTGTTTTGTTTCATAGTTTCTCAAGTAACAGTACGACCCACAATGTCTGGAAGTCCATACAAAAAGCCACAAAGTACTACACAATTAGCAAAAAATCGATTAGCCTCAGTTTCAAATCCGGTGCACACATCGGAGGAAGTTGAACGGTTGAAGGTAATCTTAAAGAAAGATAAAAAAAAGTATTTAATATTCATTACAAATAAGATTAATTGTTTTTATCTTTTTATAGCCTTCTTACAGTACGGAAGAATTAAATCAAGAGATGGCTAATTTAGAAGGTCTTATGAAAGATCTAAATGCCATAACAGCATCTGAATTTGAGTGCTAAAAGAGGTTCCTAAACCTTGTGCCATCTCAATTGAATAGACTGCATTGATACATTCTCAATGTTAGTACCTGAGAAATAGATGTAACGACTGTGTTACACGAAACTCTTCACGAAGTTTGCAGACAAAAATATACAATTGGCAGTGAATAATCTTATGGTCGATGAACGGCCTTGATATCAGACTTTTTGAACAGTTCACTTGAAACTTATTCCAATGGTATTGGACTAGAACGAGTATTTTCCTAGTCAATTTGTTTTTTCCTCTGGTACTAACGTTGCTTTTTGCGATAAACTGCAGAAGTATACTTGCCAATGAATTTTGACACTGCCGCATTCTTGTAGCAAATTTGCATTGCAAGAACGTGAGTAGTATGGTTTGAAAGTGTTAGTGAAAGAATTGAACATTTTATTATGGACTTTTAATGGTGTATTTTTGTGCATACAGTGTGTGCAAGTCAATCGAAATGAAAAGGAATTGATAAGTTCGATTCTTATCGATAATCCTTCCACCTGAATAGATTATGTTAAAATAATTTAATGACTTCATTAAAGTAATTCAGTGGGGGAAAAAAAAAAAACGGTCTGAACGGTTTTTCAATTTTTATACGTGAAAAAGTGATAGATATTTTACAATTTTATGTGCTTCATAAAAAGAAAAAAAAAGTAACCATCTTGCCTAACAAAAGAAAACAGTCCGTACTATAAAACTCACGCGCTCTTCGCCATGATTTTGTAACTTATACTCATAAGAGTTTTATATATCAATAATATCGACTGCCATATTTACGCTTAGGATGGCTAGATCACGTGAGTCTCTGAGTGGAATTAATAGTTCATTATATATAAGACAGACAGTAGGAATATCTTTTTTATTTTTTTATCCGTCAAAATGTTTTCCATAACATTTTATCAATGTTCGAAGATAAGTTTTATATGGTACGGTACTTTCAGTTTAGTTATTTTAGTATTAATCGATTAAAACAATAAGCCATCAATGTATTTCATCAATTTCACGCTATTTATAAATCGTTGCCTGTAATTTGATGAATTATGTCTGACAGGCTGAAATTTTTCTTATTTATACATTTTTCCATTTATACAGAGAATCTTTGAATTACACTGTGTGTAATGGCCTTAAAACATTTTTGTATTAAGTTGTCCTATGTTCAGTGGCTTCGGCAGCTTCACTTACGGAAGAACGTACGCGTATACTTTTAAAGCAACAATGTAGTATTACGATCTCATTGAGAAATTATTTTAGGGTTACACAAGTGAACATCGAGTATGGGTATTATATAATGAACTGTATAGTGTATGAGAATTAATTTGAAAATCGCGCGTCTTGTCGCGAGGGTTTCTTGTATCGATTACATGGTACGACTCAGCGAAATATCGATAGTGTCGATAGTGTTTATATATTTAAAGTTTCGATAGTTCGATTAACTTAAGTTTCTAACGTCCAGTTAACGTGTGTGTACGTATGTCGGTCTAATTGATAGAATTAAATTAAATTTTAGAGTCGTTTTTCGCAAACTATTTTTTACCCGACATTTACAAATTGTTATTTGTAAGTAAGTATATGTTATTTCATTTGAATAGACTCGAACGAAACAGTTTTGACGACGCTTGCAATTCATGTGCAGGTACTTTTGCAAGAAACAAAGTTGAATCGAATTTCTCCGTCATTTGAGACGAGAATGGCGGACAAATTTTCAAACGTAGAATATTAAAAGCGGTAATTTTTTGATATATCCGTCGAGATACATAGGTAATACATAACTTCCTTCCAATTCTAGAAATTTGCATAATAAATTTTTTACAATGTTTTATCACATGATGTACACAGGTCTCTTTAGTATTAATAAAAGAGAGACCTTGGAGAGATGCAGGATAAACGTAAGGATTCTAACTTGAGATATAAGAAGGAATGCGATCGGATAATTTCGCATGTAGTATTTCATATTGTACCACCTTTTTAAGCACTTTTGTATTTTCTTAACATTGAATATAATTGTACAAAAGTCCAACGCGTAAGGGACAATGCACCAAGATTCCCGTTGCGGCAAAGCCTAATATGGAGATATAGTACAAAGCAATATGTGATACTCCGTGGTTCGCGATGCGATGATGCCGATCGTGAATTAAGCAAAAAGAAAAAGAATCATCGACTCGTCCGGAGTATTGCATATTACTCGAATATTTTGCCGTTAGACGGGAAATGTACCGTTCATTTTGAGTAACGTGAAACGGACAAGTTCTTTTATCGTCGGCTTAGCTCTGATTAGAAAATTATTCAAACTAAGATTAAGATGTACGTATTTGCTACCATGCATGGTTTCGATTCATTCTTTTTCTCTCTCCCGCCTTGAATATTACAAATTCCTTAGATAGAAAAAATATTACGACAACAGAGTGGCTGTATGCTTGATAGAGCAAAAACAATTCTAAGTAACTTACCAATATTTCTTGTTTACGTCGAAATCTGATGTATTTTATAAATCTTTTACGATTGGCACGATAGAACTACACGAGTTACATGTGAGCTATACCGATAAAAGAAGAACAGCTTGTACATTAAATATATATATATATATAATTTGTAACTATTACGTGATTCAAAGGGTGATTTGACTCTTTGTAATTTAAAAAAAGAAATGGGCCTATGAAAAGGCCTGCAGAAATATTTTACCATAAAAGTATAGTAGATATATATATATATATATAAAGTATATATTTATCTATGTAAAATTATTATTTATTGATTTTTTATGTACACTGAGAATATTGAGGATAAACAAATATTGTAAGATGCTAGAGGCTGGTTGGTTTTAATCATTTCCATTGATGTATCGTTGTGATCATTGCTGTCATTGTCATCGTCATTATCATTCTATATGTCATTTTTCTCATTGTTCATTATTCTTCTGTTTGATCAGTGTTTTATGGATTTGTTAAGATTAATATAAAAATTCAATAGTAATTGGAGATAAGAAAAAAGAGAGCTACAGGCCACTGATGTATATAGATAGAACACTGCTACATTATAAAATAATTAAGTATTTATATACATATAAATATATATATAGTCATTATAAAATATAATTATTATATTTGTACAATACGTATAAGGCAGCCATCTCCAGTGAAACATTCATAACAAATGTGTGATAATATTTGTAAAACTTGATATCCAATAAACAATCTTATGTTCTTTACAAATTATCATCTCAGCATTGTTTTGTGTACTAGGTGGAACAAGAACCTTAGACGTTGCAAAAGGAAGATGTCAAATGTACGAGACCCTACTTTGAGATCTGCTCTGACAAAATTAAGTATTAATGTATACACATATAAAAGTGAAGAAAGTTATTTCTAAAATTTGTAAATTTTAAATTTGTAGATTTTTCTACGCCAGTTTAAGTCAGAAAATTCAAATATAGTCGTACATTGCAGTGACATCTACGATGAGGTTGCTACCATTTCAACAATGCTCCATTTAATACGAATGAATAGGAATAGATAGCGTTACCAACTAGCTGTGCACGTTTAAAAAAAGAAAAGGACAACAATACGCGATCAAGTGCAGTGAAAAATCGGTGAAATGGTGGAGTTGTGTCGTGCATATATTTAGAACCAGGTGAGCACTTTATTTGTTAATTAATGCCTTGCTTCATTCGTCGTATGTCAACTGATGTACAATGCGTCCTAGACAGAGGTTTTTTTTTCACATCATTTTCGTACATCTTAATCGGTGAGAAACATTTTATAGGGTCCACTAGGTGTCTCCGGTGAATTATACCATCAATTTGTATACATTAGCGGAATAAAAATGTTGTGATTATATCTTAAATCAATTGACAATTTCGTATCGTGCTTCACTCGTATGTATCGCTCAGTCTGATGTTCCTTCATACATCATAACCTCTTTGCACGTTACAAATAATATTATGAATCGTTTTTACGAATGACACGTATCGACAGATATTCGAGATACTATCATACGTATAGTATTTATAATATTAACTTACAATTTACTTTTGCAAACGATAAAAAAAGCACAATCAAAATCAAGAATGCGGTATTGTCAGTCACTTGTTTCTTAATTCAACGACAGATATTAGATATTTGATATTTTTCCATCAGTCTTTTTCATAAAAAGGGGATAAGACTTGATGTAGAAATAAATTTAACAAAACAGTATGTGTTGAAGGATTTATTAACATTTCTATCGCTATTATCAATAATTGTATATTGTGAACGATATTTAATAGAATTTCACAAATATCTTAATTGAAGATCGATAAATAAAGCATTGCCGCATTAAGATATACGCCTAGTTATGTATTCACGGTACTCGATCATTTTCGCGGGAAGACAAGTAGCACGTGGTTTGGCATTCCATATATCTTCTAGAGCTTTTATTCATTTTCTCGTACAATATTTCTTGCCCTATACTTCTTTCTTCAAAAAATACAAACATTTAAAATGTATCAATATGAATTTTTCTTTATAACATATTGAATGTACATAGATATTTTCTGATAACTGAAAGAGGACAAATGTCAAAGTAATCTAAGTTTGGCCAAGATAAAGTAAAGTCGTTGGAGATCGTTTCTTTTTTTTTTTTTTTTTTTTTTCTATTTAGAAATCAAAATATCCCCTCTCCGGGGGTGCCAAAATTCCACGGTGGCTTAATGCCCCCTATCCCCCACCATGATCCAGCCTCTATTGATTGCTCTACCGCACTACTGCCCTACTTTTATGACTTCGCTTCACCCCCGCCTTCTCCTTTCTCTCTGTTTCTCTCTTTAGTTCCATGTTCCCTGATAGCTTACCTTCGGAATCTATCGCGGAATCATAGACACGCGGGAATTGTGGATCTTCAGCTGTTTGTCAAAGATATTTTTTCAACTGCGCTAATACGTGGAAGAACCTCTAATTTGATTTTTTTCAAAACTTGATGAGATACTGTCACTACGGTTTAGTTTCGCTCGTTACATTATAGCAAACATAAAGAGAAATTAATACATGGGATAATATCAAAATAATATCAATATGATAATACGCATATACTTACAGAGTTGAAGATGGATTATGATGGACGAATTGCACGAAACAGGGCTGTGAATTGGAAAATCCGATATCGCGAATCCGATGATAAATTAACTAATGTTGCTCACAAATCGCACGGTAATATTATGCATTGATGCTACACAATCCTACGGATAGTAGTGCACGTGCGTATTAGCAGTGTTACGCTTACGTGTCACATGTGTATGCACTGTTGTTGCGTGCACAGGATCAAGGCTGCACGTGGTGCAGGTTTATTTTTGAGAAGCCTGTAACACATAGTATGTCCAGAGAAACAAGGCTTTTTTTTCCGTCGTCTTGCGTGCAGCCTCGGGATATTTATACGGTTTTCCGTTTTCCATCGTGTCTAACTGTATAATGTCACATGACACTGCGTTAAACAACCACAGATACAGCGTTGTTTTAGGTCGAGTGACTACTAATTAGTCGATTTATCTAGATATAGGTGGCCACTCGACACGGAGAAAAGATGATTTCTCCTTCTAGAGTTCTCTTTATTGGATCCGAAATCAATGAGACGATGCGACAAATAATTATCGTTGAGTATGAGAATAACTTCTTTTTTTTTGTAACTCATCGACCAATCGATAGTTTCAATCCGTTAAACGTTCCTTCTGTTACTAAATACTCGTTATTAGAAATGTCTAACGAAGCTGAACTTTGGTTTGGTTCTTTTTTATTTTTGTGAATGAATTTCACAATTTCTTTAGCTTTCTTCGGCTCTAACAAATCATGAAAATATCTTGAATCGTTTCGTGTCTCGTGAGAAGTTCATTAACGAGCTTTTTTACCATTGTAGCTGTTAACAATTTCGCAATGACGTAGGTCAGGCTGCAGTATGATATACTTGGTCACGCATTGATCCCATTTAAGTAGTAACGTCCAAAATTGGTCAGGCAGTGAAGTTTATATTAGTATAAATCCCATAGACTTCTGTTTTCATGTTTGCAATATTTCTTTAATCTAGATGCTTTAAGAACAAGAATTATGCATCATACATAAAAATGATAAAACCAATAATTAAGTTTTTTAACATTGTAATTATTAATTTAATATTTATCTTCTTACTGTCAGCAAGACAAAGTGTATATAACTTTTGAAATAATTAAAATTTTCAAGGATAGAATTATTAGACATTTTTATGTATGTTATCAAAGAACAATCAAGTTATGGGCAGATGTGTTACTATCCAATTCACGGAAGAATGAGTAACCACAGACATTTTGAGAATATTTTGAATTCAGTTTCTTACGTTTCCTATTAAATTGTGACAATAACAATAACAATGACAATAATATATTGCCTCGATTTTTTTCAAATTGTAGAACGTAGAATTTATCTTATGATCAGTCATTCTAAATTATTCCTGACTATCTGCTTTAACCTTTTTCCTGGATTTATAAAAGAAATTTATTATATTATGATTTTTTTTAGATAATATATTTCTGGAGTACAATTCTTTTAATGATAAAATTTTCTGTGTAATGTTACAAAAGAAGACCTAAATTTTGAAGGGAAAATATTTTAATAAAAATAATGCATATACCGGGAAAGGAAATAGCAGTTACAAATACGTACCAGAATGCAGAGAAAAGAAATTCCAACAATAAATAATGCAAGTGTATTAAAAGGAATTTCCATGGAAGAAACAACACAGGGATTCTAAAAATGCCAGAAATTCCAACAACAAGAGGCAAATTAAAAACACAAAAAGAAAAAATTTCAATAATAAAAGAAACGTGCAAATACATTGAAGGAGAGATCCTAGTAATGAAAGAACAATTCAGAAAGAAGAAGCACACTGGCAATAGAATCGAAAAGATCATTCACAGAGAAAAGACAAATAATAGGACAAAAATAAAAGAAAGATTACGTCGTAACAAACATTCAGGATGTCTATGAACAGAAACGACCCTGAAATTCCTAGAATATCCTAAGGCACGAAGGGGTGTATATTAGAAATCTAAGAACGACCTGGTAGGGAGTTGTCGAATTACAAAATTGTTGATGTTGAAATGTCACACAACATACAAATATACTGTATATACACAGTTTGCATCATGTATACTGCACTCTAGCAGCAGTCAAAGTCATTTTACTACATTGGTCACTTAGTAGCAGTTCATGTTTGCGTGTTATAATCGGTACGGAGAATTAAACATCGATGAAAATCACTTATTGCCAGCTAGCTAAACAGTGCATGGGTGTTTATCCGGCAAGGTCATCGCGAAAACCGAACAAACGAGATGACTCACGCGGGATTCGCTGAATGCTTTCACCCATTGGGCCGAATCGTGGCGGAATCGATCGGTGCCTGTGGAGTTAAGACGAATTACGAGCAGTGACGAATGGAGGAGGGTCGATAGAGAGGAAGGCCGATTTTCGGGCAGGCTGCACGCGAATCGCTTCTCCTCGACGAATTCACCGGACGACCACAGTCACGCCAACCTCGGTCTCGCACTCCATCTTATTGTGGCATCACATACGTGCCACCGAAGAAGGTTCTATTAACCTTCTTTCGGGGAATTCCCAGCTTACCAGCATGGAAGTTCGATCGAAGGTAG